TAATTTACTATCATAATTCTGATGACCTGAATGGAGCAAATCTGATGCATTGATTAAGGCACTATAAACATATAAAATCAAGTTTCCCATTAGTATCCTGTCTCAATGTTATTTTCCAATGAAGAAAACAAAATACAAGGAAAGAGTGGCAGAGCGCTATGGTTCTTGGAATTCAACAAGAAGGGGAGAAAAACCTTGAAGATAAGATAGAGTTCCCCAATGGAAGTTTCCAACATTAACATTGCAAAACTCTCTTCACCATGTTTTCCTGCATCACAACAGAGTTGGAGAACTGCCAACAAGCTCCCATGTTAAAAGAACACAGGGCACAACATTTGTCCCAGATTAGTACAAATATTGCATGTAGAATGGCCCAGTGATTGATATCTTTATTGTGTAAGAATTGTTGGAATCAGTTCCCCTTGCTCGTCCTCATCTAAGTGAACAATCTGATAATTCCACAAATCTAATGATTCTTCATTTCTTGAACATGGATGATTATTTCACTAGATCCCATGGAGAGGGAGACAGATTAAGGTAAAAATATTATAATAGCAATGTTACATTGTACGCAATCATGCTTCGGGGAGGATTTTGTTCGCAAATTTTTCTGACTTTAATTTTGTTCTGCGTAATGTTGCTACATTGTATTCCATGTGATTGTGATGTCCCTGAACTGGAAAAAAAGGACATCCCTAAAGGATGGCAGTTTCTGAGCAATAGCTGTTTTTAAACGGAGGATTTTATGCAACATACTAAAACTGAAACCTGGGTCTCATATAATTCACATCCAGCTAAACAAAATTATGGATTAACGTGCTGGCCTTTCTCATACAAGAACATGCTAAAAGAAAGGTTAAGTTCTTGCTGTGTTCAAAACAACAAACTATCACGTTCCAATTTAGCACAATGTAAAATGTTGTAGGAAGTCGTCCAATATGTTGTTTCTCAGTTTCCTAAATTCTGGAAATGGTGCTGCTTGAATATTGTACTATTATTGTTTTTTAGAATGTTTATGGGGTTTTATTATTTTCCTTGAAGGCAAGCAAATAGATAATATTTGTCCCATATGCAGTTTGCAAGTCCATAAAAACCATTCAGTGTGTTTCTTTAAAATGTAAAGGATAATAGAGAGATGGGGAATGGGTGCAGAGAACTCCATTCTTGCCCCCTTTTTTGAGTTTGAATTCTGTAAGGGTAATTTCCACTGCCTATTGCTTATACGTGTCTGATTTTCACTCTCATTTCAAGTCAGTTCAGAATCAAATCTACAAATACAAGAAGAATAACACTGAGCTGTTAGCTTAATCAGGTGAGCAAGTCCAACCTGGGGTACTGATAGAGACAGGATAGAAGGGAAGTTCTCTTTTCACTGGCTAACTTTCCTTCCGTTTACAAAACTGCAAATACCTTCACTCTAACACAAAATAGATCTGCAGTGTTTGCTGATGGATTTAGGTTATGTTGCCCTGAAATAATTGGAACTGCATCAAAGTTGAATGTCATTTTGATTACGAAATGTAATCTTGTAAAGAATATGACAAAGGGAGGCAATTTTCTCATATATACTACTTTAATATAGTCAGTATATGTCATACTATACCAAGTTGAATTTATTGAACATATAGGTAGTCCTCACTTAAGGACTGCCTGGTTTAGCAACTGTTTGAAGTTATGATGGTGTTAAAAAAGTAACTTTATGATCAGTACTTACACTTACAGCCATAACAGCATCCCCACAGTCACATGGTGAAGTTTCAAGCACATTGCAACTGGGGCGGATGTTGATGGCTTTTGTAGCATCCCACAGTCACGTGATTGCCATTTGTGAACTTCTCAGCTGGCTTTTGACAAGCAGAAGTAATGGAGAATCTGGCAATAAAATTGCAAGTTGCAGTCGTGATGTCTTGCTTAACAACCACAAGTGATTCATTTAATGATTGAGTAGAAGTAAGGTTATAAATCCATCATAGTTATATCCTGCTTAATGATCATATTGCTTTGAAGTAGAGGTGGTGGTCCCAATTGTGATTGTTAAGTGAGGACTACCTGTAATTCCTTTGAGAAAATAACATTAACTTTCCAGAGTTCTTCCATGTTCTCCTTTTGCAGCAAAAAAAACCCCAAACCAAAATAAAACTAAAGGGGGCATTGGTGTTGGTGTCAGAAGGGAAGGGAAGGGAAGGAAGGAAGGAAGGAGATAGGAGAAAGAGAAAATAAGTAAAGGGTGGCCTTGCCCATTTGGGTCTTCATTTTTACTCACAGTCCAGAGGTACTGAACAGGAAAAGATTCTCCACCCTTATAGAGCATGCAGTTGAAAAAGGAAACCCTTGCTGTAATGTTTGTATTAGGAATCTCATTCCAAAAACTATAACTTTTTTTTCCAATATGGGAAGGTAGGCAGGGGATATTGTGGCACACAATAGATATCTTAAGCTTTCTCTGTGTTTAAGATTTTTTTCCTTACCTGCCTACAATTTTTTTAAAAGGGGTAATATTTCTGGTTCCCCTCTGTGCTGGGGGATTCTGAAAGCCACCAATATAGGAATGCCTGCAAGCTGAATGTGATTCAGGGCTGCACTTATTCCTGCTTATAGAAGAGATTTTTGGAATGAAAAACTTCCTGGCAGAAATATGAAAATTAAACCTCATGACTTAAAATGAAAACAACATTCAAAAGATCCAGCTCAATTTACTGGCACTACATCTCTTTTGGCCCAGAGCTATTAAATGAATCAAATGCTACTGTGATTATAGGTTATTTTAAAAATAACCTTAATACTTGTGGATGTGGTATATATATATGTATGTATATATATATATATATTAGTGTGTGTGTGTGTGTGTATATATATATATACACACACACACACTAATCCAAATTGTGTACAATACATACTTCTTAATCCTGTCAGTTTTGGAAGACACTGTAAAGCTTTACTTCTGTAAATGAACATGGAGATACTTTTCTGATGGTATCACGTCTGTGCTGATGTGAAACTTATTTTTTGCCAGAAGTAACTGTAGGATACTTGACTGCCAACGTTTTCTCCAAAAACCAAGGGGGAAAAAGAGTAAACGTTATTTTTATCCTAATTCCATTCCTATTCTAACTACAACATACCAGATGGTAAATTTTGTACAAATCATGGCAAGGATCCAGAATTAGCTTCCGATGAATCAAAATGTTTTCTTCTATTGGCAAAAGGATCCAAGATTTAACAGCAATTTGGTCTGAGAGTAGAGGATGGGGCCCAAATTGCAATAAGTCCTAATTTAGTGCTTCTCTATTCAAGGGAACGTCCCAGCCTTCCAGAGCATAAAGGAGAAGATGGAGAAATGACAAATATTGTCTTCCTTATTCTTCCACTCAGAAGAACTCTGGACACAATTCAGTCATTTGACTCAGAATTATTTTTCCATGTGGGTTTCCAAGAATATGATGTTTTTATAGCCTCTCATGAGTTTTTCACATGCAACAATTTTAATTTACATAAGGATGCTAGGTAAAGTGTAAAATTCCACCAGATTAACCGATGAACAGTGCACTGCATTTTTTTAAACCCGCAGTAGTGGAAAATAATTTGCTAACACAGATTCTTTAAGTTCATCCCTGTTCTTGTTTAGAAAACAGCAACAACAGTATGACTTGTGTTGTGAGGAATACATTTGCATTTCTCATGTTGTAAATTCTAGAATCCTAACAACACCAAGACTGAAAAAGCAGGAAGCAGCACCTGCTTAACCATGTGTAACTTTGAAAGCTAAGTAGGATTGAGTCAAGTTGATAATTGGATGGGAGATCACAGAGAATAATCTAGTTGCAGACTAGACTGGAAAACTGAAAAAAAAAATCTGAAAGAAAACAATGGCAAACTATTCCTCCATTTTCTATGGGCACGTTAATGAAGTTAAGTAGCTGATTTTGAAGGAAGTTTAAATTTAAGTCAAATATATGTTAGCTGCAACCATGTGTATTTTGGGCTTGTTTTTGTTTTTAAAAAAAGAGCATGCTTTTTGAGACTTTACCCTTTAAAGGAAAAGATGGTGGGGTAAAAATGCTTAAATTCCCCCTCCCACCCCCTGCCCCAAGTAAAAATGGGTTTCCAACTATATTTTATTCTTTGAAGCTAATTTTTTGGATGTTTATTGGATGAAAGCAACCATAGTAGATAATACTGAGGAGAAAAATAGCTCCAAGGTAAATTGCCAGAATTCCCTTGTTTTTTTGGGAGGGAAGGTTTCAATTTAAATTGAATTTATAGTTCTGAAGACTCTCTCTCTCTCTCCCTCTCTCCCTCTCTCCCTCTCTCTCTCTCTCTCTCTCTCTCTCACACACACACACACACACACACACACGTAGTTAATACATTTAGATATATGTTACCTGCATACAAATGCATCAAAAATATTACTGTTTATTATATGTTATGTATTTCATTCACACCCATTAAAGAAAGAAATATATGATGTAAAACGTAACTCTGTATATGTACCGTAGTTTATCCCTTACACTGATGAAATGGTTGATTTAAACTATATCTTTTCTTTGACAGATATTCTGTAGTAGTACAGAATTATCTTAACACTTAACATTAATGCTTAATGTTCTCCACATGCAGGTTTGCACTGGTTTAACTAGCTGCAAGGTGTTTAAAATAAATTAATATAATGATATGGATGTGAGTCATCCTCATGCCTTGACTAGCTGTGAACATGTCACTCCAATACCCTGTTTTGTTCCACTCTAAATTACTTACATGATGACACTGCAAAGTATTTACTGAAACCAACTATTCCCAGAATAACTGACAAATATCATTTTCCCTGATGTTTCTTGGGTCCGTCTTGGTTATAAACCTGCCTTTCTAAATTTACAAATTTAAATGAAATATCAACTTCCAGAATCCTCAGTCACATTGGTTAGAAATAATGTGATTGGCATGCTCAACATAACCGGAGGGCATCAGGTTAGAAAAACGAACACAAATCAGAATTATTTAGTAATGCAGAAAAGAAAAGAATCCTTTATTTTGTTTTAAGAAACCCTAAGTTTCTGGTGGAAAGAGATCAAATAGACTGGCTTTCTATCATCTATAACCCAAGAGAAACTCATCCTACTCAGAACTGAATACGTACAGTTTCAAAGTAGGTCACATCTGGCTTCATATATTTTACTACAGTAATTCTACTAGGGATGGTCACTTGGCAGTGCACTTCTACTCAGAAATAAGTTAACACGACTTCCATTCAGGGAGGGAGACATAAAGCTATAGAGTTAAGTTTGTTTCAACTTGTTTGAACTAAAATCCACTACAGCTAAACCAGAGAGCACTCAAACCCACCAGCTGGAGAATTAAGCATTTTGAATAATCTTCCTTGAAATGAGATCCCACCCAGACCACTGTTTAGCTGAGAGTATATATTTTTAAAGAATGATCCCCACCATCCAAAACCACTAGAGAATGGTCTGATATGAAAGTTAATGCTAAAGGGTAGGAAAGACCCTGAGTTATCAAAGGTTTACACGTAGGGAATTCTTCAGGTTTTCCAAGAGAGAAGACGGCTTGGTTATAAGCATCAGTTACTATTACTTGCCCTTCCCTGCTAAAGGTCACAGCACTGGCATGGACTTTGGAAGGGAAGACAAGATTCAGGCCAAAACTGTCCACCTGGCTGATTAGCTGCAAGTCTCTGTTGAAGATTTTCAGCCTGGTATTGCCGTAGCAGAGCCCTTTGCCCATCAAATGTTCGATGACTGCGATGGCTCCGGAGATGGGCGAAACAGCCACTTTCCTTGGGTGACACAGGTTAGAATACAGCCTTTTCACTCCCTTTAATTCTCCCTTTTTAAAGTCAGCCGACAAGCGGTACAGAGCACCTGCCTCCGAATCGGTCATGAGGATGTCATTTTGTGGCGTCGTGTCCAGGCCCCACGGCAAGGAAAAGGACTCTGCAATGACCATCTTGCTCCTGCCATCACAATCGAACATTTTGACTGAACGGTCCCCGCTATCGGTGACAACAATGTGACCATCCAAAGTGACCGCGACGTCAGTTGGGTACTTGAGGTCATTTCCCGATTGCCCTTTTTCTCCAAACTGCTGTAGGCAGCTGCCACTGAAGCTAAACAGCTTAATTCTTTTCTTGCCATCGTGGGCCACTGCTAAACAGCTCGAGCTCTGACACACAGCCAGCCCTGTGGGGTTGATCAGCGTCCCCCAGCCTCCGAAAGAAAGATGAAACGTGAAGACTTGAGATCCAGGGGCAGCCACAGCCTCCCTTCTCCCCAGCATCCTTCCTGCAACTGGAGTTTGATTGGCTGAAGGACTCAGGATTTCCATCAGGTGCAACAACGGCAAGCAGTCGCTGGTCTCTGAAGATTTGCAAGCTCTGCGACAGAAAGGACACTCCAGCCTGAAATTCCGAGGGTGGGCCAGAGACATGACACACTCCAGGCACATCACATGCCCGCATGGTAAGTTCTTGGGTCGATGTTTTTTCTCCAGGCTGTATTTTTCAAAGCACACTTTGCATTCGAGCAGATTGTTCTCAGACTGATCTAGCAGCATTGTCATGATTTCTGTTTGATCAGCAGCTTTGGCAGCCATTAGTAGGAGTCTAAGAGGATTGATTGTGCTGCTGAGGAGAGGGGGAGTGCTGTGCCATCTGGTCACATTGGTGTAGTCACAAGACCCTCTTACCTCAGAGGTCTTTACGCAGATTGCTGCAGGCCACAATGCAAGCTTGCGTTGGTGTTTGGTGCCCTCTTGAGGAAATTCACATAAATTTTTTTCGGGAAAAACATCTAGATGCAAATAATAGATTCATGCTGGTTTTTTTTTAAATTATTATAATGTGAGAGAAAGCAGATAGAGCTATGCACCAGTCACTGAAGGCTGAATCCTAACAATTGTAATACATTCCATAGAAACATAACTTTCACAATTCATTCCAGCAAGTTTGGTGATGTAAAACTAGCGAGTCTGATTGTATTCACAACTCACATAAGACTAAAGTAAAGTAAAATAAATAAAGGAAGGAAGGATGAAAGTTGATTTGGCAGTCTCGGCATATTAGAATTAACAATATAAGTCATCTTCTTTTAATGACAATTGGGACTTGCATTTCAGTTGTTAAGCAAAAGTGGTGGGTACATAAAACTGTGATTATGCTTATGATCTTACTTCAATTTTATTTTTGCTTTACAGACCTGAAAAAGTTGTAAATGTGGGCATTGGTTGCAAAATTACTTTTTCATCATCATTGTATTGTAACTGCAATTTGTCACTAAATAAGGCAGTCACTAAGCAAGGACTACCTCTATTCATAGTTTTGCTAAAAAGATTCTTCCCTTAAATGTATCACCTATAAAGTAGCTATTTTTTTAAAAAAAAAACTAATAAATAAAAATCTAAAAAGCCAGGTGGAAGCACTGATCTTGGCTGATCCAAAAAAAACATTAGTAATATAGGACAACCAGGAAATCCAAGAGCAGTAGCTTGGACTAGGAAATAATAAAAAAAAGAGAGATATCGGAAAAAAACAATAGTAAAGTAAGTCCCTGTGCTTTCAATAGCTTAATGTTCATTGTAGTTGTATGGTACCTATAGTGAGAAAAACAAAGTTCCACTTATCAAGATGCCTTATGTTACACAACTTATAAAAAGGGAAGTAGTTTTTAAAAACAACTTGATTGGCCACCGATCAGATCAGTATCAAACCAGAATTATAGAAAGTCACTGGGACAAGTTAGCTACCAAAGGAATTACAGCAAACATAAAGGAAATGTTGGCATGTAGAAGGTATTTTAGAATTAGCTGAAACTCTTCCTAAAGACAGCTAGCTCTTCCTAATGTTCATTCTGTGTTAGGAAGTATACATTAAAGAGTAAAAGCAGCTATACCACCTTTAATTTCTCTGTCTTGCTAATTTGGCAGATAGGGTAAGAAGAGGCTATCAACCTTAGCAGGTAGATCAGGTGGGACATATGACCAAATAAGTTAATTCTACTTTATTGTAATGCTACATTAATAAAATCTACCAAGGTTGAAACCACAATTCTCTTGCTGTTACCTTCAGAGTCCGATAATGTAGGGAGGGTCCCTCCTGACCCTCTTATTCTGCCCACTATGCAGCTGGAGGCTATGCTCCCTTTTACTTGGCTGCTCTCTAGGTAGCATCTCTTCGTACCATCTCCCAAGGTCTTTCCCACATACCATTACTTAGAAAGAAAGACTGGGTCCAGGGTCTGGGATCTGCAGAACCACCTTGATCTGAGAATTTGTTGTTGTTGTTGTTAATTGCGAAGTCGTGTCCAACCCATCGTGATCCCATGGACAACGTTCCTCCAGGTCTTCCTGTCCTCTACCATCTTCTGGAGTCCATTTAAGTTCACACCTACTGCTTCAGTGACTCCATCCAGCCATCTCATTTTCTGTCGTCCCCTTCTTCTATTGCCCTCAATCTTTCCCAGCATTAGGCCTTCTCCAGTGAATCCTTCCTTCTCATTAGGTGGCCAAAGTATTTGAGTTTCAACTTCAGGATCTGGCCTTCTAAAGAGCAGTCGGGGTTGATCTCTTCTAGGACTGACCGGTTTAAACGTCTTGCAGTCCAAGGGACTTGCAGGAGTCTTCTCCAGCACCATAGTTCAAAGGCCTCAATTCTTTGGTGCTCAGCCTTTCTTATAGTCCAACTTTCACAGCCATAAGTGGGCTCAAATTTCCCCATATCAGTCAGCAATGTCAATTTTTCAACCAATCTTCTACCCTTCTAGCTATTTCTGTCTGCTGAGTATCTGCTACATAGTCAATTCTGAATCATTATCCTGTCATAAGATTAAATGCCATCATGTCCCCATGTAGTGAAGACTTCTAGGAAAAAAATCTCAAAGACAGAGATCAGTGAAACTGCTGCTCTGGATTCCTTTATGCAACAGATCAGGTAGAAAGACAATTCAGTAAATGAATGTTATCAATATTCTGATATACAGAATAATTGGTCCAATAGTCTTCTTTTGTAAGGACACATTTACAGTGCACCCCTTGTGCCTTTTAGGAAGAGAGGAACAGGCTAGGAAGCAATAATCCCTCACTGCACTCAGTCACTTTTTAGATTAAAACAGGCAACTATTTTTTATTCTTGATGGCATAATACTGACTTTCCCATTCTGGTATTTCCAGTGGCTAATTCTAGAGGACAAGAAAGATTTGGCAATGTGCAGCTCAATTTATTATCCATGCAGTATGGCAGATTGTTGTGGATGTAGTAGACTTACTACTGTAACAGAAGCTGCCATTGTGGTCGTCTCCTGTTACTTGGCTACATTCACCCCTAAGCTGCAATAGATCCCTGAATCTGACATTCCAAGATCTCTTATGGGGACCACATTGGGGCAGAACAGAGTACTATAACCCAGCCCCCCCATCCTTTTGGGCACCAGGGACCAGTTCCATGGAGAAAGTTTTTTCCCGCAGATCGAAGGGGGTGTGGTTTTACATGCTGCCTGCACGCCATGAACGGAGCTTCGCTTGTTTGCCTGGCCCGGTGCTAGTCCAAAGAATGGGGGTTGGGAACCCCTGCTATAACCAATTACCCGATATGTATCCGATGACCTGATGTCATAATCAAAGATGCAATAATGATAAGAAGGCAGTATATAAGCAAAACCTTTCCTTCTTCTCTGGGTGAAATCCCTACATGATACCTTAACACAACCGAGTCTCCATTCCTACTTTCACAAGGGGGGTGGTGGATGGAAAAGATGGCAAAGGCTACAGCCGCTGCTAAGTAAGGAGCTTCCTACAGTAGATGCCCCATAAATTGACTAAAGAGGGAAGAACCCCAGCTGTGTAACATCTTCCCCATGCACAAGTGCCTATAATTGGCATGGGCTTATACCTCATTTGTTTTTAACTGAAGATCAGAACATCACTTCTATGTATTTTCTGTCATTTCTCTATTATTGTTTCCTGAAATAAAGCAAGAGGAGCAAATGTTTCCTAACACTTAAGACTTCACTGAGTAAAAATCATATTCATATCCAGTCTAGCAGCATAGTTTTTTTTTTAAAAATCCCTAACTTTATTATAAGGCATGAAGGCTTTGTGAACTCCACCTGACTTCATCAGATGTGCCAAAAGTTTATGCCTTATAATAAAGATCTGTTTTAAAAGGTACTGTGAGACTCTGATTTGAGGCTACCGTAGAGAATAGGTAGTCCTCTACTTAATGACAGTTGAGCCAAAATTTCCATTGCTAAGCAAGACAGTTAAATGAGTTCTGCCCCATTTTACAACCTTTCTTGTCACAGTTGTTAAGTGAATCTGGCTTATATCTATCAGAAACATAAAGCAAAAAGGGAAGGGCATAACTGTATTTTCTATTCTACTGCAGTGAAGAGTCAGAAGTCACTGCTTTTTTTCCTTCTTCTTTTCATCTCACACTTCTTTCCCCTTTAATCCTTATTTCCATTTGTATTTTATATTACAATAATATTTAAGAAAAACCCCAATGTTCACATTTTCTTCTTCGTATCTCGTATTTGAAAAATATAAAATTTTTATATCGTGCTTTTCAGATTATAAACAGGTGAGCAGGTCTCATTTGCTGGAAATCTTTCATAAACTACTAATACTTTTCAAATAAACAATGGGTAAAAAAATAAAACCAAGCCTACATGTTAGCTGTGGACTGTACCCATCACAAATAGAATTGCCCATAAAGTATGAGCCAGCTTCTGATACATTGTGCGCTCTTTTTCCAGACAGTTTGGTGTAACTGACAGGCGATAGCAGCCAAGCAGGATGGTATCAGCAGAAGTTACTGGAATTGAATGTCTCCTAAGCCTTGGCAATAATTTATTATTTATCTCTCCCTCACCCAGTTAGTGATTTCTTACCATGGGAAATGACTCATTCTCCTAAACAAGGTCAAATGTTTGGCATGCCTACCGCTGCTTGAAAATATATCAGCACTAGTACTGCCTGCAGGGGAAAAAAAAACCCCAATCTATAGGAACTGGTTAATAATTCAATCATTCTGACTTCTGGAATTTCAATGTTGGCACATTCTCTTCCTGCCTCAGATTGCCTGGCTGTACTTGTTCCTCAAAGCAGATGCCGGCACAAAGCTGACCTTTGCTGATCCTTGCATAAGAGATCATCAAGATCTCCCAATGGTGTTTGAAAAAAAGAAAAATCTTGAAAAGCCACTGTGCGGAATCTCTTCGATATCCTTGTCACAAAAACTACACATACACATCCCTGGAGTCATCCAATTTTAAGCTTGACTTGAGTGAGGTTTTACCTTACACAGCCTTATACAGAAGTCTTTACCTCATATAAGAGAAAAGCTGTGTGCCATACATCAGAGGGTGGACCAAATAGAAATACTACAAAAGGCAGCAATGCAACAGAAAGCCTCCAGTACACATTTTACTAAGCATCCTACAGCCAAGTAACCTTTTCCAGCAAAGTCAATATTGCATAATGTTATTTATTTATTTAGCTCAGCATAATGATGATTATTAGGATGAACCCAATAGATAGGAAAAATGGGGAGAAAGCACAAATCCTGATGTAACTCTTGGTATTCCATTTTAACAACGGAGGTTTATTTGCAAAGGCAAATTTCACGAAAATTATTCTCAGAGATATTGATAATAGAAGAAAGTATCTCAAGAATGATTGATGCTCAGATCAGAAACATTAAGATGTCTGGCAACCAAGTGGTTCTCCTCCTCATCCTCTGAGAGGAAAGTCTAGGAGTCATCTCGGTTCTTTCAATGTGACCAAGTATAAAACCTCCCATAAATAATCTAAACCCCACTTCTTATGTCGCTCTTCCAAACCATAGACTTTTTCAAGACATTGAATATCGCAGTCTTTTCCTGGAAGAGAAAAAAAATTTCAATGGTTTTGACAACAATCACTACCCTTCGGGTTTCGTGTAAACTATTATTTCCCCTTACTCTGTTACACATTATAAATGCCTTATATAGGAAAAAAAGTCCTTATTATTTAATATCTCTCATCAAAAATAGCATCCCTAAGGTTATACGCTGCTATGATAAAATCTGTTTTTTTTTTTTTTTTTTTTTTTTTTTAATTGAAATTTTTCAAAAGTTTTACAAATAAAAATCCACCCCCCCCCTCCCCAACCACCCCACCCCCCCCCGACTTCCCAGAACTGGATATAGGATTATTTAACAAATTTTTTAAAAATAACATTTACAATTTATAAAATAGTTAATAATAATGATTAAAAATCACAATAATAATATATATAATAATAATATGCATAACATAAACTTTAAAATAAGTAATATATACTAAGAAGAAAAAAAAAAAAAAAATAAAAAAATGAAAAAAAGAAAAGAGAGAGAGAAAGAAAAAGGAAGAAAATAGACGAAAAATATATATGAATAATAATACATAAAAATTATATATATATAAAAAGGAAAAAGAAGAAAGAAAGAAAGAAATAGCATTCATTACAAATTATGAGAAAGCTAAATAATATTTTTCCATATCCAAATTATATTGTATGAAATTTATCCATTTTTCCCATACCGCAAAAAATTTTTCTTGAGATTGCTCCTTTAAGAAAGCCGAAATCTTTGCCATTTCTGCCAAATACGAAACTTTGTAAAACCATTCTTGTAAAGTAGGCAAAGATTCCTTCTTCCAATATTGTCCTATTAATAGCCTAGCGGCTGTAATCAAATTTAACATCAATGTAACCTCTTTAGCATCACAGTCAATAACAATACCTAATAAAAATAATTGCGGCGTAAATTTTACCCTCCTTTTAAAAATTCTTTGAATATTCCACCATATCTTAATCCAAAAAGCTTTTATATGCTTACAGGTCCACCAAATATGATAATAGGTAGCATCCAAGTATCCACATCTCCAACATTTCGGCTGTAGATTAGGGTACATAATGGACATTTTCTTTGGGTCAAGGTGCCATCTATAAAACATCTTATAAAAATTCTCTCTTAAATTTTGCGCTTGTGTGAATTTAACATTTCTTATCCAAATAAGTTCCCAAATATCCATTGAAATCGTTTCACCAATATTCTGTGCCCATTTAATCATACAATCTTTAACTAATTCAGGTTCTGAATCTAATTCCACTAAAACCCCATAAACTCTCTTAATATGGGTTGGCCTTTGGTCTCTTACTTCTTTTAAAAAAATTCCATCTTCTCTAAGCCAACCCATTTTACCATCCATCTTCCATCTATCCACTATTTGTCTATATTGGAACCATGAATAAGTTAAATTTTCATGTGTTAATTCTTCCAAAGATTTTAACTGACAGTCTTGGCCATCCCATCTTAGTAACTGTGCGTAAGAGACCTTATCCATATTTACCCCTTTCCTTATACCTTCTATGGCATGCCGAGGTATAGCCCATAATGGTATTTTGAAGTCACTTTTATAATACTTTCTCCACACTCTTAACAAAGAGATTCTTATAATATGAGACTTAAAAACCCAATCCACTTTTTTATTAAATATTAAATAGGCATGCCATCCAAAAAGTAGGTCCCAGCCTTCCAAATGAAGTATTTCTATATTTGTTAAATTCACCCAGTCGCTAATCAAAGTCAGTACTACAGCATCATAATACAATTTCATATTTGGCACCTTGAGTCCACCTCTCTCACGAAAATCTTGCATTATTTTAAGTTTCACCCTTGGTTTCTTCCCTGCCCAAACAAATTTATTAATACCTTTTTGCCATTCATCTAAGTTACGTTCGTTCTTTAAAACAGGTAGCATTTGAAATAGAAAAATAAACTTTGGCAGGACATTCATTTTAATAACTGCAATTCTACCCAAAAGGGATAACTGTAAATTATTCCAATTTTTTAAATCCTTCTGTACCTCCATCCACAGCTTTTCATAGTTATTTTTGTACAATTTTACATTAGAAACAGATAGTGTAACCCCCAAATATTTTACCTTATCAACAATTTCAAAATCTGTTAAGTTAACTAAAGCCTGTTTATCACCATTAGTCATATTTTTAGCTAATATTTTAGTCTTATTATTATTAATTTTAAAACCAGAAACACATCCATATTGTTGAATCAATTGTAATAATTTCACCACCGAGGAAACAGGTTGAGACAAAGTAACAACCAAGTCATCTGCAAAGGCTCTTAGTTTATATTCTTTTTTATTAATTTCTATTCCTTTTATTTCTTGAGACTCCCGAATTTTAATCAACAAAATTTCCAATGTTAAAACAAACAATAACGGGGATAACGGGCATCCCTGTCTTGTTCCCTTTTCTATTACAAAAGCCTCTGACAAACCCCCATTTACAATAATTTGAGCAGTCTGTTTTTGATATATGTTGGATAATACTTGTAATATATTTTGTCCGAAGTTCATCTCCTTAATTAAACACAACATAAACTGCCAATTCACTTGGTCAAAGGCTTTTTCAGCATCCAAAAATATCAGACCTGCAGGGACTTGGTTATTCTTTTCTAAATACTCTAGTAAGTTAATAATTTGTCTAACATTATTCTTCATGTACCTTCCAGTTATGAAACCCGATTGATCCCTGTGTATAAGCTGCTGCAAGATCCCCATAAGCCTGTTAGCTAAGATTTTTGCAAAAATTTTATAATCCACATTTAAAAGAGATATAGGCCTATAATTTTTAGGCAAAGTGAGATCCTGACTATCTTTTGGAATCAGAGATATAAATGCATTACGCCAGGATGGAGGGATTTCTAACCCCTGTAATAACTTATTAAACAGTTCACACAACGGTTGAATCATCTCTTCTACTAAAGTTTTATAATAAATAGATGTCAACCCGTCCGTACCCGGCGCTTTGCCCAATTTTAATTGTTTAATAGCTGTAACAATTTCTTCCTTAGTAATTAAACCGTTAATCTTTTTTCCCTGATCTTCTGTTAATTTAGGAAAGTTAACTTTGCCTAAATAATTATTTATGTCTGTAGTTTGAATATTAGAACCCTTATATAATTTTTGATAGTATTCTAAAAAAGATTTCTTAATCAATTCTTTCTGATAAACCAATTTACCATTATAATTTATTTTATCTATATTCCTCTGTTTCTGTTTTTTTCTTAACTGATAGGCCAACCATCTCCCTGGTTTATTAGCATTACAAAATGTATTTTGTTTCATAAATAGCAAATTGGTTGCAGCTTGATCAGCCATCAGCATATTAAATTGTGTTTCCGGTGGTTGAAGCGGTGGAGATGGCGGCTACTTTGTAGCCGTCCTCCTGAGAAGGTGTCAGATCCGCGGAGCACAGCGTTTACCAGCTGGCCCGCGGCTCGCAATCCCCTTCCCGGGCGAAGGGAAGGGGTAGAGATCGCATGAATAGAGGTAGAACCTCTTAACTCTCCCTGGATTTTTATTTTTAGGGGGAGAAAGAGGTTCCCTCGGAGTTCATTGCTTCTCCGCCTCTCAGCTGTCTTTGTTTCTTTAGAAACAAAGCGAGACGCCGCTACCATCTCCGAATATAAAGAAACCGTGAGTAATCTTAAACCGGACAGAACTGTTTAAAGGATTTTATTTATAGTTTAGTTTTATTTTATTTTTTTTTTCTAGTTTATTTAGTTTATTTAGTTTGTGCTGATTTTTTTTTATTTTTTCGAGCTTTCTTTTTTTTTTGGGCGGAAAAGTGAGAGTGAAAGTAAAATGGCGTTTTGAAACTTTTTTTTTCTTTAGAAGACGGTTCGGCTGAATTGTTGTTTAATATTGCTTTTTTTTTACTTTATTCTATTTTATTTTATTTTTAATTTTTTCTTGGACTACTTATTTTTATTGGTACTTTTAAGAAGAAAGGAAGATAAATTAAAATGGCTTCAAAACGACAACCAGCTACTGCAGCCTCTAAAGTAACTTCTTCTCCTGCTACTTCTACTGTGCAGCAACAACTTAAAATAATACCTTCAGTGCAGCAACCTAAATCTACTCCACCTTCACCTCCCCCATCTGGCACATCAGCACAAGACATTAAAGAAATAATGGTAAGTGCTGTTTCACAGTTTAGGGAGGAAATGAAACAACTTTTGGATCAGAATAAATCTGAAACTAAGGAGGAAATGAAGAAAGAGATGAAGGAGCTTTTAGAACAGAATAATGCTATTTTGAGGGATGATATACTTTTAGCTTTATCTGGAATGGCCTCAGTGGTTGTGAAGCTGGACTCCAGAGTAGAGGAAATTGAAGAAATAGTTGAACTTCTGGATTATAAATTTCAAGATATGGAGAAAAAAGTGGAGGCTTCACAAGATGATATTCTTATGTTCCAGTACAGACAGATGGAATATGCTTTGAGAATAAGGGGTCTGAAAGAAGATAAAACTCAAGATTTGATGGAAATGGTGATTAATGACTTGGCTGTTATTTTGAATATTGATAAAGAAGAGTTACGTGGGGATGTGGAAAGAATTTATAGAGTCAACTCCTGGGTTGCAAAACAGAGGGATCTGCCTAGAGATGTGGTGATATATTTTGCTAAGAAGTCTTTGCGAAATCAGATTCTACAAACTTTTTATAATAAAAGATTTCAGATTGCTGCTCAAGATATTATTATTTTAAAGGAAATTCCACCTAAAATTTTAAGAACCAGAAAAGATTTTGCTTTTTTAGTAAATGAACTTAAAGCAAGACAAATGCCATTTAGATGGGAGATTCCGATGGGCATTGTTTTGAGCCATGCGGGGACACGTTATAGACTCAACACAGTTGCTAAAGCTAAGGAATTCTATAAAACGGTCCTGGGAGCAGGCTCTCCTTTGCCCATGATGCAGAAAGTTTTGAGTGATAAAGAGGTGGAACAGAAATCTGAAGCTACAGGGATGATGACTGCTGGACAGGTGGCATGGATGTCTCAATCAGAGATTAAAGAACAGAGAATGACCCGTGCAGCACATAAACGTAAAGAAAAAGAACAACAGAAAAAAGAAAAGGAAAAAGAAATTGGAGAATCTACTCAGCAAATTGTTTCAGTGCCGGTGGGAGGAGCAAGACCCAAAAGCTCTGCTACATATTCATCAGCAGCAGAATTTGAGCGGATTTTCTCCAGGCTGAAGGCCAAGGGAGATGGCAAAGCTCCTGTCCTGGAATATTAATGGATTAAACACTCCTCAAAAGAGAAAAAAAATTTACCACTATTTGAAACAACATAACAATGACATCATTTGCTTGCAAGAAACTCATATTACAGCTAAAGACCAAAAATATTTAAATAATCCTCGCTTGGGATCTCATTTTGTATCTCCCGCCCCTGGGAAGAAAGGGGGTGTGGTAATCTACGTTAAACAGAATTTATCTGCTACCCTGTTAGAATCAGATCCTTACGGAAGATATGTTATGCTTGAACTTGGTTTATATGGTAAGAAAATCCTTATTGTGGGGCTGTATGCACCAAACCAGCAACAGGAGCAATTTTACAGGTTACTACATCAGAAAATAACTTTGTTGGATTATAGATCTGTGATTTTAATGGGAGACTGGAATGGTGTCTTAGACACACAAATGGATAAAAAAGGCTCTTCTACCTTTTTTAAACAGGCTAAACTACCTAAAGCCTTCTTCGATATGAAAGAAGATTGGGAATTGAGAGACTATTGGCGTGAACGTAATCAAGAAGAAAAGGATTTTACGTTTTTCTCAGATAGACATCAATCTTTTTCAAGAATTGATTTCTTTTTGATTACAACAGATTTATACAACAGGGTAAAGAATGTAAAAATTTTTCCTAGGACACTGTCCGATCATAGTCCAGTTTGGATGGAACTGTTTGCAGAGAAGGAAGACAGGAGATCCTGGAGGGTGAATGAGAACTTATTTAAAAAAGAAAAAAATGTTCACAAATTAAAGGAATGTTTAAAGGAATATTTTACTTTAAATATGAATAAGGGAACATCAATGTCAATGGTGTGGGATGCAAGTAAGGCTTTCATGCGTGGTATTTTGATAAAAATGAATAATTTGCATAGACAGGAACAGACTCAGAAACGGAAAGACTTGGAAGAGGAGATTAAATTAAAAGAGAAATCTTTAATTTCAAATCCCTCAGATGAAAAGGTTAAAGGAGCTTTAAAATTGATAAAATCTGTTTTAATCGCTTTAATGTACTCTTATCTGATGCTTTAATGGGGAGGCTGTTGATAGGTTTTGTAATATGGTATATGATGGTCAAGTTATTTCCTCTGCATGCTTTTGAACTAAAAAAAAAGAATGCAGCCAGGCAGCCATAGCAATAAATGGCAAAAGTAAGAATACAATTATGTGCATTTATACTGAGATGTTATTCTTGCTAAAAATTGGACCCAGAGGTAGCCTATCAACAAGGGACAGCCCCTCCATAAGTGGAGTGCATTTTCCAATTAAAACAAGAGTCTTGCGTGAGAAATGAGAATTTAAAAACAATGCTATGCTTCTCTTAACACTATGCATGGAAAAAACCTGGGCCAGTCTCTCAAAATTCATGCCACAACAAGGACTCACCCAGTATTTTAACATACACACTAGTAGAAGGAGTGGCACCATCTCAATTAACCAGTGGAATTGCCTTCAGAAGTTGTGGGTGCTCCATCACTGGAGTTTTTAAGAAGAGATCGGACAGCTACCTATTTGTCTGAAATGGTATAGGGTCTTCTTCCTGAACAGGGGGTTGGACTAGGAGATCTCCAAGGTCCCTTCCAAGTCTGTTGTTCCGTTGTGTTCTAATCTCGTATTACCATGTTTGCTGCCATACGCCCACTTCCAACTTCCCAAGTGCTGTTCTCACAAAGCTTTGCTCAATATGTCATGAGGCATATTGACATAAGGCTAGCAGAAATACGAGGCATTCTTTATACAGCCTTCTGGAAGCACAAGGCCTTGGCAACAAGAATGCTTTCTACTGGCGTCACTCTAGATCCAACTAGCTTGAAGCAGTGCAGAAAATGAGTCATTTCCATTGGCACAGCCCAGATAACAGGATACAAATTGAGACAAAAAGAAAATGTCCCTGTCCTAGATCTGCAAAGTAGATTTTGTCCAAATTAGGAAAGGTGAACACAAAGGATGTTAGATTTATAGGATGACACTGGGATCTAAAAAGAGCCAGAATAAATCCAAGAATCTAGATTGAATTACTAGAACTCAACATGGAAAGTAACCTTGAACTGGAAGGATATGATATCCATTTGCTAGATGTTCAGATTCAAGTTTATTTTTTTTTCTAGCACAAAAATTTGGCAGAAATAGATTGAGGTCACTGATATTTATCCTCTGCATTTGGTGTAATAGCACCCCCTTCCCCAAGTACCATATTACAGTACTGCTTTGGGGGTCAGCTGACATGGCTCTGCTTCCTCTTAGTTTACGAAAATAAGCATTTTCTTTCCTGAAGAGGCAGGTGCCACATTTGGCAAAGGTTAAAGCTTCTTTTCGCTGACTCACCAAATAAACGTTTCACGTCTGAATCAGAAACATAGAACGGTGGACCTACAAGAGAAAAGATGAAGTTAGAAATTCAGAAAGAAAACCCAGCCAAAGCCCTAAATGTTCCCTTTTAATAAATGAGAATTCAGGGATTTACTTAATTTAATGTCAGTTCAGTCTGTAACAATCCATTTATATTTCAAAAAATATAGAAATGCGAGAGGAAAAAAGACAGTCACTTGAGAAACCTTATGCAATGGCTTTCTGTTGATATCTAAAACTGTACTCCAGTTTTAGTGCTGAACTGAATGTTATAAAAATTATGGCAGATTCCTAGAATACTGAACAGTAGATTTAAAAAACCTGATTTGCTATTGCCATACTCTAGAGCAGGGGTGTCAAATCTGATTGCATCATGGGCTGTATCGTGACATATCAGGACTTGTTTTGCCTTTGTGGGGCGGGTGGGTGAGGCCTGTGCGGGCCACATCCAGCCCCTGGGCCGCATGTTTGACATGCCTGCCCTAGAGAATCATGAATATTTTGATTATTCATTATATTATATTCTTATGCATTAATGATCTGGTCTGTTGTAATCATATTTTGCAGTAAATTGTATCTGTAAATAGATTTCTTAAAAATAAATTATCATGGTTGACTAGTTTAAAAGCTAATGCCATGAAAAAGATGTATATCATTGAATAAATACCATAAAAGCATTGGAAAGTATTAGAAAGGAATTTAACTGATGTTCACTGAAGGACCCTATCTATTTAGACTTGCTGTGCCTGCCCTCTAATCATGCCAGACCAATGCCATATTAATCTTAAGAGCTTACTTCCAGTTACAAAGGATGTACATCATTGTAAGATTTCCCCAATATTGGCTTTAGTCCCAATATCTTACCTTTGTGTTTCCTTACATCATACAACAAAGTAACTAGAAGACAGCGACACATTCTGTTCATTAGTGATAGTATCAACTGGACATAGCTAAAAGGAAAGGACAAGAAACACATACTGGGGAAAACTGATATTTTATTACAAAGAAGGAATAGAAAAAGTGGAACATGAGAAAAGTTGGATTCACATAACACGATAAGCTATGATTCTTAAAACCTTTTAAAGTCACAATTGGGGTTGATGCAGACAGCTGTCTTGCTAATGATGCTAAAGCACAGCTGACTTTCTGCAAAGGTTTGTTTCCTATAATTGTGCTAAGCCAAAACTATGTTGCAGCTTAGCATGGAGTGTGAAATAACACAGCTGCTGCTGCTGCTTCCTTTTCCTTTTCCTGAGAGCTGAAGGAGACGTGTACAGAGTGTTCATTTTATCTCCACAACAATCCTGTGAGGTAGGTTGTGGCACATTAATACATATTGTGGCATACTTCAGGCACATTAATCACAACAACCCACTGGATCTCACCAATATATATATATATATATATATATATATATATATATATATATATATATATATATATATATGTGGGTGTGGAGGGAAAAAGCAGCAGGGTGTTACTTAAATTTTCAAGTTCAGGCTTTATACTGGCTGGGTTTGTGTGCTATAACACAGCATGTTTTGTTTGGTTTCACATACACACAATATATATGTTTAAACCCCTGCTTATGTCATAGTTAGTAGATCCATGTGCAATGAAAGACAAATAGCGCTGTCCAGAGAAAGCACAGATCACAGTTTGGATAAATCAATCAAAATCTCCAGAAGCAAGTAACATCATCCAAGCTGGTTAAGAATTAAATTCAAAAAGCCAAACACTCCAAAAGTCCAGATGTGAGCAATACCCAATATAGGGGCTAAAAGGATAAGGAAACATTTATGGAGAAAAGTGTCAAGGAACTGTAGAGAACTATTTTGGATACCAAGGTGTTCTGATGTAAAATCAACCCTGAAGCAAACAGTTATATACATCAGCAAAGTTTTGTTGGGTCTCTCATCCATTACACCAGGGGTAGTCAACTTTGGCTCTTTTATGACTCATGGACTTCAATTCCCAGAATTCCTGAGCCAGCTTAGCTGGCTCAGGAATTCTGGGAGTTGAAGTCCACAAGTCATAAAAGAGCCAAGGTTGAATACCCCTGCATTACACTAACTTGCTGCTTTGCATCTCCTAATTAGAGGAATGCTACACCAGGAGTTGTGAGAAGAGAAAGTACTGCTGTCAAGTGCTGTCATTCAAGCCTAACCATGCCTTACAGCGCACTTGTGATTTAAATGTAATGACCGTGTCATGTCATGTTTCCCAATAATTATTTCATCTAATTTTGCAAAAGTTACTCAGGAGAAGTATCCCCAGTACAGAATGACTGGAACAAGTTAATCACTCAGGAAGAAAGAGCAATTTCCTTGGCACCCAAAGCCTCAACAAGCAACACTGTAGTTTCTGATATGAACATAAAATGCAGTTCCCAGTTACTAACCGTTCTCTCTCAGAAGGGTTAACAGCTACTAGAGAACCTCTGTCCCAAATCCCATCAAAATGACCAGTCACAGAGCTACAGGGAAAGAAAGGAAAAAAATCATATCAAACTTAGTAAGTACTATTTTTAGTCATACCAGAAAAGCAATGTTGAATACAAAAAAACACCCAACACACAGAAGACAACGGTTTTAAAATCCACATGAGCAAGAAACAGCTTAAAAATACAGCTTTGATAGAGATGCAGAATGTTTTACAGAACTAGGGAGAATGTATTTTATTGCAATATGCTTAGTATGATCCAAGGATCAGAAAATGAATTGATATAATTGCTTCAATTGCACATAATGCTAGTCTATAATATGATGTGTTCATTCTGACTTAGGATCATTTGTGAACCAAAACACATCATGACAAATGCCAAAGTGCTTAGAGAACCCCAACTGTCATCCAGGAAGTCCTCATTAAGTTTTCTTACAAATTCCCAAATTCTGCTAAGATTACTAGATCTTATAAAATGTCAATATTCTTGCATGAGACCTTATGATACAAGGAACAAAATATCAGGCGATTTGATGAACTAGTGAGTTTGGGGCCATTTTAAAATATTTTAAAATAATTTCAGAGACCTGTGCAATTACACAATACTTGCAGTCCTCGACTTACAGCAGTTCATTTAGTGACCACTAAAAGTTACAACGGCACTGAAAACAGTGGCTTATGATCGTTTTTCACATTTACAACCACCGCAGCATTCCCATGGCCATATGATCAAAATTCAGATGCTTGGCAACTGACTCATATTTATGACGGTTGCAGTGTCCCCGGGCATACAATCACCTTTTGACACTGTTTTACAAGCAAAGTCAACGGGGAAGCCGGATTCACTTAACAACTGTGTTACTAACTTAATAACTCAACTATGCAGTGATTCACTTAACAACTGTAGCAAGAAAAATGGTAAAATAGTGCAAAATTCACTTAACAAATGTTTCACTTAGCGACAAAAATGTTGGGCTCAATTGTAGTCGTAAGTCGAGGGCTACCTGTATTATGTCACAGTGCTCAGTCCCTAAGAAGATGATTGATCCCTGGTTTTGTATTATATATGATCTAGCCCATTTATTAAATATTAGCATGATGTGTGAGCTCAGCCAATGTCTATTTTCATGGCATGAAAAGCTCATTACCCATCATATATGCACCTGAGCCAGAGTAAGATTTCCCATAGATCAGCTGGCTCAGGAATTCTGGGAGCTGAAGTCCATAAGTCATAAAAGAGCCAAGGTTGCCAACTCCTGCCATAGATGTTACCTATGCTGCATTACAGGTGGAGTTGAAAGCCATCAAATATGCTAAATGTCTGGAAAGACTAAGTATTAATTACTTCTTACCTGGTCAAGTCATATAAACTGCAGCAATACAGAGAAATATTCAGAGACGTGCACTACAATGAAAAATAAACAAACTTTTTTAAAAAAAGATAAAGCAACAAAAAAGTAATTAACATTTTTATCATCTAAACATTCTATCTTTTTTATTATTAGTTGTATTTTCTTACTGGTAATGCTATACTGTTTCTAAAACAAAATTAAGCATTAAAATAATTCAGCATTAACATAATTAAAGCAATAACATGTTTTAATTTTCACTTAAGAGGAACTTTAATATATATATAAATGTGTGTATGTAAATATTGTATATAATGCTTAAAAGCAGTGAAGTATCTAGCCTTAAACATGCCAGGTATTTATTTACATTTCAGCTTAAATAAAGGAACTTCAAATGGAGAAACAGGGATGAATTTTTCAGTTTTCATCAAGGGGTTCACGTCTATCCTCAAGAAATTCTATACTTTCAATAATGATTATAGATTTTAATTTCACTTTTATTAGTAATACCCTACTGCTATGAAATATTTACTATACTACCTTTGGAATAATAAATATCATTATTTCATTAAATGCATTTTAATGGTGCCCAGTCCTCATTGTGATTATTTTAATTCATGGTTTGCAAGGATCCATATTTTAAATCAATAAACCAGGGATATATCTCTCTTGGGCCACTGATAAACTTTTAGGCTTAGCTATACCAATAAATTACATTTCTACAAAGAAAATACAGGGCTCAATACATACTTTCAGTAATTTAGCTTCAGGGATTTCTGGAACTATTTCTTCTGAAAATGAAAGATTCTGTTCTGTGAAAAAGTCCTTCAGTGCAATTTCACTAATTTCTACACCAACTACATGGTGTCCCATGTCAGCTAACCTATACAGAACAATAAAATATGCCATGTTTACTCATATGTTATTGAGGTTTTTTTTTTTTTTTACAGTAAAAGAAGATAGATCAAAGTCCTCTTGGTGTTAGTGGGCAATTGCCTTTGTAACAATCAGAATATTATCTGTAGAAAGTTGTATTTTTTTAAAAAAGCAAATAAAACTTTGGACTAAAGAAACCGAAGCACAATGCAATGGAGCGATAAGAAGCAACACTGAATACTTTGTTCTACTTTGCTTCTCTAGTTTTTTTTGAAGACTTTTTAACTAGCTAAATATCATGGGGATTTTTTCCCCATTAAGGTAAAAACATAAGATGCTTTCCTCCCCTTTTTTTTCCAATAGTAATGTAATAAAATTGGAATATCAAGCTGTAGATGTGTGGAGGAATAGAGCATTTGCCTTAAATATAAACTGGCCTACATTATTAACTTACATTTTAAAAGTTTATTTCCACATTGATTAAATTCACTCAGATGGTGGACCCTTGATAAACTGGGAACATTTGACAAAACACAGCATCATAAACTATCAGTGTATTGATGTAATGAATGAGATTCCTCTCTCCCCATTCTGTTCAATGAGGCACAGCCCAAATTACATTAATTCCTTTCATGACTATCAAACAAACAAATGAAGAAAAATTCATTTTGATACTGGCGGTGTTGTGAATAACATAAAGAATTTATGTATTTACTTCTGTAATACATTAAAATGTATGTGCATCCGAATAGATGGCGATTTATTGAAACAAAGTTTTCATATTTTATCGATTATTCTCGGCACAGGGAGTTATTGCCCTTCCAGATGTTGTTGAGCTATTAGGCTTAGGAGCTACAGGTAGTCCTTGACGTACAACTATAACTGAGTCTAAATTTCCATTGCCAAGTAGGACAGTGGTTAAGTCAATTTTGATCCATTTTACAACTTTTCTTGACATAGTTAAGTGAGTCACTGCGGTTGTGAAGTTAGTAATGTGGTTGTTAAGTGAATCTGGCTTCCTCATTGATTTTGCTTTTCAGAAGTTTGCAAAAGGTGATCACATGACCCTGGGACATGGCAACTGAAAAAAATGCATGCCAGTTGCCAAGCAGGTGAATTTTGATCACGTCACCATGGGGGAATGCTGCAATGGTCGTAAGTGTGTGAAAGACGGTCATAAGTCACTTTTTTCAGTGCCGTTGTAACTTAGATCACTAAATGAATGGTTGTAAGTCAAGGACTTCTTGTATAATTAATCAGTATGTGGACAGTCACATGTTTTTCAACCTCAAACTATTCTAATCGCAATTCTCTATTGACGCACTATTACTCTCAGCTAACATCTCTGGCTATCTGTAAGGGTTCTAACTGATTGTTGGGGTCTCCGCACAGCTTTTGCTTGTTTTAACAGACAATGGTTTATCTCAATAAACTGATTATGTTATAAAGGAAAGCATTCTAAATTGGATTGATTATTAAATTATTTAAACCCTAATCCATATTCACAACCAGACAGCCTTCAGATGTTTTGGATTCCAGCTCCATGTGTCCCAGCTGGCCTATTAAGTGTGTGGATAATGGATGCTACAGCCCAAAGCTCTGGACAATGGCAGGTTGAAGAAAGCTGCCTCATTTCTTGGCTTGAGAAGAATGACTTAGTAAGATGAAGATTTTGAAATATAATGGTACCTTAATACTCATCATTAATTAGTTCCAGTAGGCACGATGAATACCAAAAACGAGGAGCACCAAACAAATTTTTTTCCCCATAAGAAATAATGTAGTGAGTCACAAGGCAGCTGACACCAACAAGTTCTAGTTTGTGCATTGAATACTAAACGATGAGTACTGGGACAAAATTTTCATGTCAAAATGCATTGAGTGCCAAATTCAATGAGTTTCAAAGCAGTGGAGTACCAAGGTACCATACTACAGGGATTAAGTTTGCCTAGTGAAGGAGACTGGGAAAGATTGAGGGCAATAGAAGAAAGGGATGACAGAGAATGAGGTGGCTGGATGGAGTCACTGAAGCAGTAGGAGTGAGCTTAAATAGACTCCAGAAGATGGTAGAGGACAGGAAGACCTGGAGGAACGTTGTCCGTGGAGTCGTGATGGGTCAGACACGACTTCGCAACTAACAACAACAGTGAAGGAGAATATCACACAACTGAAAATACATGAAGGTCTCAGCAAAATTACCCAATCTCTCCCCTCCCCATGTTTTATTAGTTGTTATTTGTTTATACTCATGAAGTAGTATAACAAAATCTAGATAAAACTGAAATGATATAATGATTCATTTACCATTTCATTTCAACAGCTTTCCCACAAAGTGGAAAAAATATTCTTAATTCCTTCCTGCCGTTGAGAAAAATATCCAGGTGTTTCTTCAGGAATCTGGAGGTGGGGGGAAGAAAAGAAAATGTTATTTTTTAAAAAAAACATAAAGTAACTGATCTTCACACTCATCTTCTTATAGAATCAATTAATAATGTGCAAAACACCAATTTAAATACTGAGCTTTCTTTAGCATGGCCTGAAGGGCTACATTAAGAAAAGGTAAGAAGTCTTATTGAAGGCAGTCAACCAAGGAAAGCTCTTGAAAACAAAAGTAAAGGCCGAATATAGAAAAAACAACAACAATTGCAATTGGTTAATTAGAAGAACAAGCAAATGTATGGTCAATATTTGAAGGATGTAGGAAAAAAATGATTAAAAAACCCACACGGAATTGGTTAAAATCAAGAGTCTTAAAGAAACTGAAGGCTTTATTTTACCAGCTTAAGAACAAGCTTTGCCAACTAATTGCATGAAGGGGCAAATTCAATATGTAACAAACAATAGCAAATGTCAGCTTTGTAGTAAAAAGTATGAATGAATTGACCATTTGATCAGTGGGCCGAAGCCAAATTTCGCAGACTATAAGCAGCGTGTTTGAGTTGCCAAAATTATTCATTGGAAACTTTTGCCAGAGGTATGGATTGGAATAAAATTATTGGGACCATCAAGTTCAGAAGGTTTGGAAAATGAGCAGGTTAAGATCTTATGGGATTTTAAGATCCAAACAAACAGGCATCTTGTTCATAACAGCCTTGATATAACAGTTGTTGAAAAGAAGATACTCTGGTACATTGCTGTTGCTATTCCGGACAATGCTAGGATTGAGGAAAAACAACTGGAAAAATTACAAAATATATCAGAACTTGCAGATCAAAGTTGAATGCTTAGGGCAAGGGTGTCAAACTCGCAACGTCGTGTCATGACTTTTTTTCCATTGCCGGCAATGGGGTGGGCACGATTTTGGCATGATGCATCTGGCCCATGGGCCGGCAGTTTGACATCCCTGGCTTAGGGGAAAAGAAATCCACTGTTATACCAATCATGATTTGAATCCTTGGAGCAATACCTAAAGGATTTCCTTGATATCTGGAAATATTGAATTTATCAGACCTGAACACATAAAAACCCTACCCTGCTTGGAACTGTCTATATTCTTAGATGCTATCTTAAGAATTCTTAAGAAGTATTTGAATTATTTCCACCAATCCTAGATTGTGAATCTAACTATAGATTATTCATGTTAATAATAATAATAATAATAATAATAATAATAATAATAATAATAATAATACCTCTTTCTATAAGTGAACTAGAATTCATCTTATGACTCTGCAAAGCAAAATTAATTAACTCTCCTGAGTTAATAGTCCTCAAAATATATTTCCATGGCTATGAGTGTAAATTATGTCTTTTGTGATACGGAGGGAGGCAAAAAAAATCTGCCCTAAAACACATTGTTATATGGCACTATACCTTATACCAAGGTGTTGCTCAGGAATGTCTCTAGACTCTTCTATACCGTATACAGTGGTACTTTGGTATTCAACTGCTTTGAAATTCATTGAATTTGATACTCAATGGATTCTGATGAGAAAATCTTGTCCTGGTACTCATCATTTGTTGGGTACTCAAGCTAGAACTTGTTGGTGTTGGCTGCCTTGTGATTCACTATATTATTCCTTATGGGAAAAATTTGTTTGGTATTCATAGTTTTCAGTACTCATTGCACCTCCCAGAACCAATGAACGATGAGTACTGTGGTACCACTGTATAAAAATGTAAGCAAACGAGCTAAAGTAAAATACAAGGTACAGTATCACTTTTATTTCAAGAATATCTCTGAGCCCAAAAGGGTTCAATAAATCTAATTGGCGACTGCAGCTCAGTCAAAAGCAAAGGTGGTAAAGTATGAACAGGCATTTCAAAAATATGTCCCTTGGCAGCTGTGTTGTGAATGGGCCAGGCTGCTCTTAAGACATTTTGCAAACTGGCAATGTTTTTTTTAAGTGACCATCAGGTTGAAACTAATGAGGACTCCTTGGCTAGCAGAATACTTACTGATGTTCTTCTTTATTATGAAATCCAATATTGTTTGTATCCCAACAGTTTAGCCATTCTTTTCCAGTCATCACTCGATCCCATTGTATCTTTGGATCATCACAATCTTCATTTCTAGAGGAGCTGGAGGGATTTTCCATGGTCTAGGCAACCTTTGTTCAGCATGAGATATTCAAAAAAACTATCTGTGAATTTAAAAACCTTTGCCTGCATTCATAAGATAATGGGTTTTGCATCCTCAAGCTAAAAATCATTTTTAAAATAACATATTGTGACATACATAGAGACTGTTATTTACAGAAATAGCTATTTAAAGAATTATATTTGGCTTTCCTCCTCATTCATTCCACAGCATAGATCCAATAATGTACAGGATTGCCGATTTCCTGAATAAATGAAAGTAATGTGTGTGACAGAGGAAGGGAGGAAAGGCGAAAAAACAGCATGCTTTACGGTTATGTTAATGAATGTCTATGCAACAGGGAAAGGACACAGGGCAGGATAATATTCTCTTGAGTTGCAATCATGTTAGAAAGACTTCAGCATCCCAAATGTGTCTCATCCCAAATGTGTTACAAAAAATGCTACCAAACCCACAACAAATTTTAGTATCCAAAATCTAAATTGATTCAAAATGTGATTGATTCTCCTGGCTCATTTTAATAGTGAAAGCTCCAAGTAATTCATTAACTCCTTCACAATTTCCTGATTTTTTTTTTAAAGTACATTTCCACCATACCTAATGCTCAATTTTCAATTATTTTCTTGGGTAGTTTCCTACTTCCAATATATTAAAGATGTATTTTCCGAACCAACATTAAGGAGATTGATGTCAGCCACTATTTTCCTGGATATTTTTCTAATTTAACGTCCCAGCTGATGTAGGATTGCTCTTTTACAATATTCAGAAAGTTCAGCTAGAACAATATGGTGAAAGTTCACTGGGCTTGTTTCAAAACCTTGGCAGGCCTTCAATGGTTTTTGTCAGTGCTTTTTTTGTAAAAAAAAAAAAAGGTGCCAGAACTGACACACATCATACAACCTGCCTTGCCTACCCTACAAGGTTCCATCCAAAAAAGGTGCCGGAACTCCGTTCTGGGCGTTCTATAACAAAAAAAAAGCCCTGGTTTTTGTAGAACAGAATATCTGAAAAACCATCTCTGCCTGTGTGATTCTGTCCATTATTTAAAACATTCCTAGAGGTCTTTTTTCTTTAGTTTTGGAGAAGATGTTAAACTTCTTTTCAAATGCTGCTTTTTTTCAGCAAATTAAAATATGCTGGATGTACTCTCCGATCTTCAGATTGTTGCTTTTCTGCTGTTAGATGTTTTATTGGTCCATTAACCATTTCTAAAAAGTTTTAAAACTGCAAGCTGCATTTAGAGTTATAATGTTACTACAGTTGAATCTCTTTCAACTCAAAAGTAAAATTGAGTTCTGAAAGCGAGTAAACCTGCAGTCTCTGGATTTAAATCAATTCAAGCCAGCATAAACTTACTTGAGTGGATCTGAATTCCTGAAGACTCCATTGAAACTTCAGTATAGTTTCTTAGCAAATTAGGGAAGTTGTTGCTATTGCTTTTCTCCAAACCATTTTGTTATCCTATCTTACTAAAATCTTTTGGTGGTTGCCCATTCAAATACTGATCCTGCTGAACTTCAGCCAAGATCAATCAGATGCAGCCACACATTAAGATGAAAATACATCAGTTTTTAATTTTGATTGTGTACTGCATTGGTTTTACTATTATCATACATTTTATACCAACTATCTCGGGTCCCAAAGGTACTTTTCCAAAAGGCAACTGGACTTTGTCTTTTTTTCCTTGAAAATATTTCATTTTTCATCCAAAAAGCTTCTTTGGTTCTTTAGTTCAGAACTTGGACGAGAAGTGAAGCGTTTTCAAAGAAAAAAACCAAGAAAAGACCAGTTGCCTCTTTGAAAAGCACCATTGCACAACCCTGATCAGGATGATTGAGAATCTCCATGTTCTATCCCAGGGGTCCCCAACACCCAGTCCGTGGACCAATACTGGGCTGCGGCATGCCAGCAACCGGTCCGCACAAACAAAGCCCCAGCACACAAAACCACACACTCTGGTCCATGGAAAAATCTCTCTCCATGGAACTGGTCCCTGGTACCCAAAAGCTTGGGGACCTCTGGTCTATCCTGAACACTATCCTGGGGTTCCTACAATGGGAAGAAACCAGGACTATAAAGCTAAGCAGAAATAAATGGGCATTGCTGCTTGGTTTGGATTTGATAGTCTGCCCTCTGACTTCATTCTCCTAGTAACTCTGATGATGTTACCAAGTTTGGTAATGAAACGTCTGCAGAAAAACCACCAAGCTCAGAGAGCACCAAGAACCCCCTCCCTTGGACCCGAAACCGACAGAAACAACAGCAAACCAGCAACCTGAGCGAAAAGTAACGGCGGGGACGAACCTCTCAACTCCTGGCTCCTGCGGAGGCGCAGCGGCTGGACGGCACGCGGCTGTATTCTCGGGCTGCTCGCGCGCGTGCGGAGAAGAGAGGAAGCGAGAGGCTCGCAACATTGTCTCCTCCCCTCGCCCAACACGCCCCGCGCTGAGGCCAGCGGAAGCAGCTGCGGTGGAGCTGGTGCTGGGTCGACCAGCGGGGAAGGGCTGGCCGGGGGTAAGTATGGGGCCGGGCGTCCTTCGGCAGGAGGAACCTATGCGCCCGTTCCCTCTTGGGAGAGGGGGGTAAACGTTAAGGTGGGCCTGAGGGTCTTTTGCCTTTCTTCGACCCGCGGTCTCTTCTCTTCCCCCCCCCCCGCTGCATGCCCTCCGCCGAGGAATCTCTGTTGCAAAAATGTGTGCTTGCGCGGATCGGGGACATTTGTGCAATAAAGGGTTACTTCTTGCTTTCTAGAGGCTGAATTTTGAAAGGGACGCCAGCCGGGGACTTGGCCCTGGAGAGTAATTTCAGTGCCGGGGCGCAGCAGTCTTCCTTGTTAACACCCCCTGTCCCCGCTCCCCGCACGCACCGCATCTCGTCTCCGAGCCATGGGCAGAGCGCCTTTTCAGCAAAAGGGGCAAGGTGGAATTAAAAAAAATATATAAAAAAACCTCTACAAAGCACGTCAGAGGGTAAGATTTCCAGGCAAGGTTTTTGTCTCCTTGGAGACACTGAAGTGTTGAATTGAGGGGATTCTAAGAGGCGCTTCCCTTAGAATTTATCAAGGCAGATGATTGACTAAAGCTTTTTTGTTCTGATCTGAAATGGATGTGGTATTTCTCCTCCTTGCAGAAAAGAGGAATTGAGAGGAGTGAGACTTCCACAAAGAAAGAGGATCCAGTGCTGTTTATGCCACTTTTCGTTTGTGTTTACAATGCTTTGTTTCTCTTTTGTATTATTACAGATTGATTTGACTTATATCATCTGAAAATTGGGTTCTTCCATTTCTAGGTAAACAGAAAGCTGCCCTTTGTATTATGAAACTTCTGAGAACTATAATTTTCTTCTTTCTTGTGCAATTGCAACTCATTTTCTTATTTACAATAGTTCATTTAGTGATCTTTTGAAATTACAATGGCATAGGAAAAAAAGTGACTTACGACCGTTTTCCACACTTATGACCCTTGCAGCATCTCCATGGTCATGTGATCAAAATTTAAATGCTTGGCAACTGACTCACAGTGTTCTGGGGTCATGTGATACCCTTTTTGTGACCTTCTGACAAGCAAAGACAATGGGAAAGCCAGATTCAATTAACAACTGTGTTACTAACTTAACAACTGCAGTGATTCACTTAACTATGACAAGAAAGGTCATAAAATGGGGTATCACTGAACTGAACTGTTGGATAGAACCCAATGCTCCAGTCTGTTGAGATTCTTCTGAATCTTGACTCTATCTTCCAAAGTATGGGAATACCCCCCAGCTTGGTGTTGTCTGTCCCCTTCTAATCCCGTTATCTAGATCATTTATGAAGATATTGAAGAGCAGTGGGCCCAAGACAGAACTTTTTTTTTATTGAAAGTTTTTGCAATTTTACAATAAAATCCCTCTCCCACTACCTCCCTACCCTCCCAAAAACCCTCCCCCCCCTCTTCCCAGAGCTGAATACAGGGTTAGCTAGAACTAAAAATACAAAACATTTAAACTTAAGTAAACCTCAAACAAAAAATACATTAAAAAAAACCAAATGTTTAAGTACTTTAAGTCCAATATATATATATATATAATAAAAATACTTATTATCTTAAACTTTAAACATAAATTATTCAAAAGCTAAATAATATCTTTTAATATTATACTTATACTGTATAAAGTTTATCCATCTTTTCCACACCAAGAGATATTTCTCTTGCGATTGATCTTTCAAATAAGCTGAAATTTTTGCCATTTCAGATAAATAAGAAACTTTAAAAAACCATTCCTCCAGGAGTAGGCAAAAATTCCTTCTTCCAATATTGTCCTATCAACAACCTTGCCGCTGTAATTAAATTTAACATTAAAATAATTTTTTTATCATGACAATCAACAATAATACCTAACAAAAACAATTGTGGAGTGAATTTTATCCTTCTCTTAAAATTTTTTTTGAATATTCCACCATATCTTTATCCAAAAAGCTTTTATACTTTTACATGACCACCAAATATGATAGTACGTTGCATCCAAACAACCACATCTCCAACATTTAGGTTGCAAATTTGAATACATACGAGACATCTTTGGTGGATCAAGGTGCCATCTATAAAACATTTTATAAAAATTTTCCCGTACATTTTGAGCTTGCGTAAATTTAACATTCCTCACCCAAATTATCTCCCATGTTTCTAATAAAACCGGCTCATCAAAATTTTGAGCCCATTTGACCATGCAATCTTTAACTAATTCTGTTTCTGAATCCAATTCCACTAATACATCATAAATTCTTTTTATGTGAGATCGACTTTGATCTTTAATTTGTTTCAACAAATTTTCATCCTCTCTAATCAAACCCACTTTATAATCTATCTTCCACCTTTCCAATAATTGTCTATACTGAAACCACGAATAAATAATATTTTCTTGTGCTAATTCATCTATATGTTTTAATTGCCAATTCTTCGGCCCAAGACAGAACTTTGAGGAACCCCATTGCTTGCTTCTCTCCATATAAATGTAGTTCCATTGAGGACTACATGCTGAGTACAGTTGGTCAGTCAACTACACATCTATTTGGTGGTGGTACAGTCAATCTCACATTGTTCTATCTTAACAAGAAGTAGACTCTGATCTACTTTGTCAAATGTCTTATTGAAACCCCAGTACACTCTGTCCACAGCATTTCCCTGATCCAGTAATTTAGTCACTTCATCGAAGACAAGGCCTTGTCTGCCATGATGTCTTTTTAACAAACCCATGCTGTGCTTGGAGTCTCTGTAAAATTACCCACCCTTTCTGAGGGTTATTTTATCAGCCTAGGTGTATCTCAGATTATCCTGATGGGAAGATCTGGATGAAAAGTTGCTATACTAGGATTTCTTCTTGTGATTGCTTGGGTGGAAGTATTTTCTTAATCTAGGTCACAATAAAAAGCCAAAAAAGCAGTAATATATATACAGTGTATATATATATATATATATATATATATATATATATATACAGTATATATATATACTGCTGCTCGAGGCACGAAGCTGAAAGCACCAGCCTGAAGATGACGAATGGGACTTCGTCGAAACGTCACCAAGACACTTCCAATTTTACGTGGGAGAAAACCCGAACAACCAAAGACCTACATACAAATACCCGCGAAAACCTCAGAAAATATATATATATATATATATATATATATATATATATATATATATATACACACACACACACACACACACACACACACACACACACACACACACATATATAAAAATCATTCAAGGTAAAAATCTCCTCCCCCTGTCTCTCTCCTGGTAGCTAACAAAGTGGGAGAGAACCCGTGGCTTAGAGGTTATAACATCTGCCTAACATGCAGATAGCCCAGGTTCGAATCTCAGAAGAGTAAGTGTGGCTGATGAGGGTTAAAGGAACCCGAAATAGCTATACCATTCTCTCTTTATTCTTTGTTAGCAAAACCTAAAAACCTAAAAATGTAAAATGATGTCGCAGTTAGTGACTGCTGCTTGTGGATGGCTCTAGATTGAGCTGATACAGGCAAAAGAAAAGAAAAGAAAGAAGATTTCTTTCTCCCATATCTGGGCTGACAGGGTCATATATATATATACACAGATAAATAAACAGATGGCAACATTCATAATTCGGAGGCCTTCTTAAATAATTCTGCCTTTAATACATTCTAAATTATTAAAGCAGGGATTGGTTGGCAGGGCACTTCAAACTCTCCATTAAGGAGACTGCTTAATATCCCCCCTCTCTCTCTTTTTAAATCCTTCAGTACCATGTCAGGTGGAAGAATCCGAACGAAGAAAAAGGCCACAGCTTTAGATCAAGCACCTGACAACCTTCCGTTGAGAAGTTCAGGGAGACAGGTACTGTATGTCTTTCTAAATATATAAATGAAATGATAATCAGTTAAATCTTCATATTGAGCATACGTTTGCATTTCCGATGCATCTTGCCCCCCCCCCTGTATTTGTCTATGTACCTGTTGCCTGGCTCTCCTGCTATTCAGCTGTTGGAAGAGTGAAGGCTTGTAGTAGATTCAGAACACTGAGTTCATAAGGTTGTACATTGCATGGATAGCAACTGTGTAAGCAAAGCAGTCCTTTGCTGCTGACCATTATCTCCCAAATAAACAGAGGGCAGAAGGACAGGCAACAATTATGGATGGGGGGAGGGCAAGAGAAACTATTTCTTGCATTAGAAACTATTTCTCCACCCTTGCATTAGATATAACAAGATAGATAAGATAACCTTTATTGTCATTTTTTTTACTGTGAGCACACTGGCATACATTAAAAATGAAATTCTGTTGCCTATTCTCAAAATTATATATCTAGCCATACCCATACATAACACACACATATACTGTATACAGTATGTATGCTATATGCATACCTATATGTACCTATATACTTATATACCTATATACATATATACATACACACACACACACATACACACACATAGCAGGAAGAGGAAATATTGGATTCTGTGGTGGCTTGACTGTTTGAACAGAGCTTTAAGTACCTGAGACACCTATTAAAGTTATTTCTTCAAAGTGTGTCCATGCTTTGGAACCTAAGCATTTGAATCTTAGTGTCCCTGTTGTGTGATGCTTTTTAAAAATTAAGCCTCTTTTCAATTGGAATATTGAAGCAACTTACAGCATAAAAAGATATCTAGCCCCCACCCCCCACCATTAAAATAAATAACGTTATAATTGCAGACTGGGCTGTTGCCTATCTGAAATGCTGTCTATGGAGATTCTCAATCATCCATGTTGTGGTTGTCCCAAAGATGCTTTTCAAAAGGCAACTGGACTTTCTTTCTTTTTTTTTTCCCTTTGAAAATATTTCACTTCTCATCCAAGAAACCAGTTCTGACTGAATGGTGAAGAATAGAAGGATTTATATGCTTTGCAGTCATCAGACTCTGAAGGGACATCTGGAATGCTGTTTTTTGGGGCTTGGCTCCTTTTCTCTCTAAAAACTAGTTATAATCTTTGGATTATTACGCTGCTCTTTATTAATGCTTTACTCAAAGTAAGACATGCTGTGTACACAACATTACCAAGCCTTGACAATTTTTTTTTTAAAAAATATTTCTTCTGTGCCCAGCTACTCATGCAACATTTCCATATGAATACAGATGGTTGCAAATAGGGGTGCAGCAGAAATTCAGGCTGTCGTCAGCATGTGCTGGAAAACAGACAGGGCGACTGCACAAGCTTCTTTAGTCACAAAGTTCTCTGTGTTCCTATCAGGTGAGGAAAAAGGCAGCAGAGGCAGCTGAGGAGGATGAAGAAATATCAGAGAAGAAATATCGGAAATGTGAAAAAGCGGGGTGTACTGCAACATGTCCAGTCTGCTTTGCTAGTGCTGCTGAAAGGTTTGGGTTTATTTATTTAGTTTTATTTGTAAAATGTATTGGCCATCCATCTTACTGTGGGATAACTTTGGGTGGCTTACTTTATTAAAAAAATGTACAAAACGTAGGCAATATAAATAAAATATTATAAAGATCCTAGTTACTGAGTCTTAACTGCAATGATGGGAGGGAGGGAGGGAGTAGGATGAGAAAGGGGCAGTGTGAAGACTCTCCATTGGAGTTCCAAGCCCATTCCCAGAACCAAGTTTTTAAGCTGTCGTGGCAGGTCAGGAGGTTTGGAGCTAACCTCACTCCAGGGAGCAAGATATTCCACAGGGCAGGTGCAATGGCAGAGAAGGACTTTATCCTAGATCCTGCCAGCCAGAATACCCTGGCCGATGGGGCCCAGAGCACACCTCCTTTGCTGGCATGGGTGAGGTGGTTCAATCCCAGTGGGATGAGACAGTCTCTCAAGTAGCCTGAATCCCTGGGTGATTCTCTTTCCTCCTCCACTCCAACGCCCTCCACCCCTCCAGTCTTCTCTGGTCCTCTCATATTTTCAGTGAGTGATCTTCAGTGTGATAAAACTTTATTTTGACTTTGCTTTGTTTATTCTCAATTGAGTAAGATTGACCTCTCTTGTTTTCTTTGGGTTTTAGGAGGTTGGACTAGTTTTGTATATTTTCAATGCGGGGATTTCCAACATTTTTAGTTTGGTTGCTGCTTGTAATGGAATGTGGGATAGACCTTGGGAGACAGGGCAAATAGATGCTACTTAGGCAAACAGGGAGATAAGAGACAACATAGCCTATAGCTGGATAATGGGAAGGGCAAGACGCTCAGAAGGAACCCTCCTTAGTTTCTAAAGCTGTAAATGAGATGACAGGAGAATTGTATTTTCTGATTTGGAAGATTTTGTTAATGTAGCTTTATATTAAAGTAGAATTGGTTTATCTGGTTGTGCCTCCTGTCTCATCTATCTAGTAAGAGTGACACTGCCATTTTATAAATCCCGGTGTTGAAATCTTGTGGTATTTTGCCAAGATAGCCAAGAAACCTTTGTTGATAAGATTTTACTGATCTTAGTTAGGACTTTTTAATTCAGGAATTTTCATTTTATTTTTCTATTCATTTTATTATTATATGCCAAGGAAAGCAAAAGAGGAAAAAAAAGGGGGGGGGGAAACAAAGCTTGCCTGCCCTGTAACACTAAAACTAGTGTGTAAAGTGTAGGTTATTATACTGCTGTTGCCCAGAAATCAAATGGGAAAAGGGGGAAATAAAGCAAATAACATGCAGTCCAAATTTCAAAGCAATCTATCATTTGTCATTCATTACACAACAGTTTGACAAACATAGCTCTGTTTCTATATCTGACAAAATGTAAATGAGTTCTCCAAATCATTTTATAACTGATGATAAATAGGCATCCTTCCAGATTGTAAGACAAGGATTACCTGTACAGGAAATAGTTTCAAATCTGCCCTACAGGTGTGCTATACAACTTCTGTTCATGACTTTTATTTCAAATATGAATAGGTAGAAGTGCTTCATTGATGGTTAATGTAAAAAGCAATCTGAAACTATAGAGCAAAGCATATCATTTTGGTAAATAGGGTTTTTAAATATTTTCTGTTTTAGATGTGCTAAAAATGGCTACACATCAAGGTGGTATCATCTGTCCTGCGGGGAACATTTCTGTAACGAATGTTTTGATCATTACTACAGAAGGTAATCTTATTTAAGAGTTTATACTCTGAAATGACTTCATTTAGTAGCACAAATCCTGTAGTCATTAGCAAGAAAATTGATAAGACTTACAACATAATCCCCTTGTGTACCACACCGAGCTTAGTGGAATCTATTCGAGGTGAGCAAATCTTAGGATTGTTTATTATTCATAGTTCTGTGCTTTGCCCATTTGGTTTTGATTTTTTATAAAGAGATAACTGCTACATTTGTACAACTCTTAGATAGTTATATCAATCAAAACATGTTAATGATTGTGAACCAGGTGTTTTGTTTATTTCTAGAACCAGGTTGATAATATATTCAGGTCCAGATTTTGCCCACACCCATTAAAAAAGAAAATGCTTAAAATCTATTATGAGAACATACCAATCTCCATCCTAAGAGTTTAGGAATTTAATGAAAGAATTTTATCATGTAGGAATGTTAAATTCTTGGGCAATCTGCCACTTATCAGAAATTTTGGCTATTTAGCAGATACCGTTTCAGTGTGCCCTGGACAACCTGAGCATCTTGTATTAGAAGATGCAATACTAAGATATTAAAAGATATTCTCTTTCAAAACTATGTCCAAAGGAGTCATAGTAAAAAGCAAAACATATTTTAGAATTTGGTCCTTTTTGCCTCTCTGTTGCTAAGTATGTACTGAATACACATGGGAAGTGTAGCTCGCTCACAGATGACTTTAATAGAGCCTAATTTCATTTGCAACCTTGCCCTATATAACAAATACTTGCAACTAGCACTTGTGAGAGACTGTAAAGCAGGCATATCAAACTCATGACATCATGTGACTTCATGCAACATATTGCGACTTTTCCCCCATTGCCAGCACTGGGGTGGGCGCAGTTTCGGAGTGACGCATCTGGCCCGCAGGCCAGCAGTTTGACATGCCTGCCATAAAGTCACTCCTTGAATTGAAAGAATTTGGAGATAATCGTCTGCTTTAAAGCCTGGCTGTGAAAGCAACATCAAGAATAAAAAAAAGTAGAGTTCCATAATAGATGTTTTCCATAGTGCTTCAGTTTGTATCACAGGAATCTTTCGTTCCCTTCCTTTCCCTTCCAAGCAGGTTAGGGTCATATGGACCCCAGTTACAGAGAAAAGAATCTGATCTACTAGGAAGTCCAGTTCTGCTGGCTGATGGTTGAAATTGGATACAACCCAAGATTTAGTTGCAAGAAACAAATCAAATAGTGGAATCATTGTGTAGATTTAGATATGCATGATTGCAGGGGATGTATTTCAAAGCCACCCCTGGATTAACCAACATAGTATTACCATGAAATTTTTGTTAGTATACTTGTCTGCTTAGTTTTGCCTCAGCAAGTAGATATACCTAAATGGCCTTGTTTGGGCTCACAAGCTAAGCAGGAGGCAGGCCTGGTTAATGTTTGGCTGGGAGACCCCCAGTTATTGTCTAGAATGGAGAGTCAATTAAAAAAAAAATGCCAGAAGGTAGCAATAGCAAAGTGTTTTTTGTATTACTACCAAGAAAATTAAATATATATTTCTGTGAACTCACCAGAAATTTGTCTTGATTTGGATTTTGTTTTTCCCTGCCTGCTTATGGGAAAATCCTTCTGTCTACAGTCCTATTATTTTAATGACTGCTTTTCCCCTCTTAATATTGTCCATTTAGATAAGCTACAGAAATCTTAGTCTGCTTATTCCTTATCATTTACTTTTTCTACTTTTGTTAGTCATAAAGATGGTTATGAAAAATACACCGCGTGGAAAAGGATCTGGACCAGTAATGGAAAAAGTGAACCCAGTCCTAAAGCTTTTATGGCTGATCAACAGCTTCCTTACTGGGTAACACTTTTGTTTATAATGATGTCTGTTTGTTCTGAATCTTGTTCAGAAAGATTTGTTTATAATCTTTCTGAAAAATAATCGGGCACATTTTCAATTTTCTTATTCCATGTGGTTGCAAGGTGTAAAGTAAAACTTGATGACATCTAATAAATTCTCAGTAACCCTTTCTGATACAAGTGCTATGTTGTAGATTTTGAGTTTTTATAGTGAAAAATCAAAATAGGTAACTCGTTAAATTAATTAGAACACATATTAGGGATTGGAATTAGAACATATATTAGGGATTGGATATGCACTGCCTGCTTACATTTATTTGGTGTCACTGTAAATAATTCTAGAGTGCCTTAGAATTTGGCCATTGTAAAAAATAACATTCTGCAAAAAAAAAAAAATGTTTAGAAAGATTACGAGCTCCACATTGCCTTGATCTCTCAGAAGAAATGTGAGCCACATGTATAATAAGATTATTTATGTCAACTTTATCCCACTCAGTATTGCTTATACAAGCTATAAGAGTTTCCAGCAGGGAATTTATTCAGCCCTTACTCAGGGCCTGACTCCAAGACCTCTTCATAAAAAGCATCAGATCTGCTCCTGGATATATTGTGCCTGCTTTTTATTGTTCTCTTGTTGAAGCCTCAAGTAGTTTCCTGCAATATTTCTGAAATAAATTGGCTAAATGTAATTCAGGTTATTTTGAACCTTCTGAACCAATTTCATTGCCTTTATTCATAATTCTTAAAATGTCACTTATTAACCCCGTAGGTTCAGTGCACAAAGGCGGAGTGTGGGAAGTGGCGTCAATTGACAAAGGAAATTCAACTTACCTCACAAATAGCCAAAGCATATCGCTGTGGCATGAAACTGAACAGTTCTACTAAGGTACCTTCAACATCTATTTGCACAGAATAGGCTTGGTTATTTCTACTTCTACCCCAGCTTATACTGTGCTTCTGTGAGCTCGCCTGTACATAGATGTCAATGTACTATACGTGGATACTGATGCTCAGTGGCTCCATAAACAGCTGCAGTGTTGCGTCTCCTTATACTTGCTAACCATTCATACCAATTACTTTGCAGGAGCAGCTCATGTAGTTTGCACTGAAGTAGTAGTTCTCAATTCTTTTTTGTAGCATCAGATTTCTTTTGAGGGTCTCTGGGAGATCAACAGTGTGTTACTTATAGGCACATGACTTATCTTTTAGAGGGTGTTCACAGATTAAATCAGAAATTAATTTAATTTTACAGAAGAAAAAACTGAGCGATTTTACTCTTCCTTTTGGAAATCTTGTAAATCTTGGGATGCCAAAATCTTGTAAGTTTTTAACAACACTCACTATTAAGGCTATTGTAAGAAGTTGTTTTGGCACTTGTTCCAGGGACCATCTGTGGCACAGCAGTCCTTTTTGAGCATAATTGTTGATCTATTTCTTGCTTGTCAAAGGCAAGTCTTTTCTCTTTAAAACTACTGTCCTTCAGAAGAAAATGCTTCCTGTGTCTTAGGGGGGGGGGAAAAAACCCTCCACATCCTTAGCTTTCAGTGTCAAGTGCAATGTTGTATGATGTTGGACACCAGCAATACTATTGCTTCAGTGATAGAACATTATTCAAGTCTAGAAGCTGCTTCATTTACAGTACTGGTCAAAGGGGGCATTTTGTTCCAGCTGGAAAGACTCAGGCTGCTTATATTTATTCCAGGTGGAAGGCTCAGACCAGTGCACCATGCCTGAGGATCTGGTAAGCAATGCCTGTGATATTAAAATTGATGGATTAATAGAAGGTGCAGGCTTAGCCATGAATACATGATGTGGTCTGACTATTTTAGAACTGATCACTTTTTGAGAATGCAGAGCTATTGAATAAAGTGATGTGGTTAGTATTTTTGTTCCATGTCTGCATGTTATTTTTGTTTTAGAAAGATCACAGTGGAACACTTCTACCTTCCCAACAAAGTCTTAGCTCTCTTTTGGCATTCTATAGATTTCCAACCTATGAATTTCTATAAAATGCCTAACTTCACACATTGTTGGTAACATACGTACATACAATTATATACACAAACATACATATCTGCGATTTATCTTCTAATGTGACATTCAGCCAGGACTGAGAAATAATAATAATAATAATAATAATAATAATAATAATAATAATAATAGTAGTAGTAGTAGTAGTAGTAGTAGTAGTAGTAGTAGTAAAGTTGGAAGGGACCTTGGAGGTCATCTAGTCCAACCCCCTGCTCGGGCAGGAAACCCTACACCATTTCGGACAAGTGGCTGTCCAGTCTCTTCTTAAAAACTTCCAGTGTTGGAGCATTTACTGCTTCTGGAGGCAAGCTTTCCACTGATTAATTGTTCTCACTGTCAGGAAGTTTCTCCTTAGTTCTAGGTTGCTTCTCTCCTTGATGAGTTTCCACCCGTTGCTTCTTGTCCTGCCTTCAGGTGCTTTGGAAAATAGCTTACTTCCCTCTTCTTTATGGCAGCCCCTGAGATATTGGAATACTGCTATCATGTCCCCCCTTGTCCTTCTCTTCGTTAAACTAGACATACCCAATTCTCGCAACCGTTCCTTATATTTTTTAGCCTCCAGTCCCCTAATCATCTTTGTTGCTCTTCTCTGTACTCTTTCTAGAGTCTCAACATCTTTTTTACCTCGTGGTGACCAAAACTGGATGCAGTATTCCAAGTGTGGCCTTACCAAGGCATTGAAGAGTGGTATTAATACTTCACGTGATCTTGATTCTATCCCTCTGTTAATGCAGCCTAGCACAGTGTTGGCCTTTTTGGCAGCTGCAGCACACTGCTGGCTCATATTTAAGTGATTGTCTACTAGGACTCCGAGCTCCCTCTCACAGTTACTACTATTGAGCATGGTGCCACCTATGCTGTACTTGTGCATTTGGTTTTTCTTGCCTAAATGTAGAACCTTGCTTTTTTCACCATTGAATTTCATTTTGTTAGTTAGTGCCCAGTGTTCAAGTCTGTCCAGATCCTTCTGTATCTTAAGCCTGTCTTCTGGAGTGTTGGCTATTCCTGCCAGCTTGGTGTCGTCTGCAAATTTGATGAGTTCCCCATCTATCCCTTCATCCAAGTCATTGATGAAGATGTTGAAGAGTACTGGGCCCAGAACAGAGCCCTGGGGCACCCCACTACACACTTCCCTCCATATAGATGCAGTTCCATTGAGGACCACTCGCTGAGTACGGCCGGTCAGCCAGCTACGGATCCATCTGGTGGTGGTTCTGTCTACCCCACATTTTTCTATCTTGTCAAGTAGTAGGTTGTGATCTACTTTATCAAATGCCTTACTGAAGTCCAAGTAAATTATGTCCACAGCATTCCTCTGATCCACTAATTTTGTCACTTGGTCAAAGAATGCAATAAGATTTGTCTGGCATGATCTATTTTTGACAAACCCATGTTGGCTTTTAGTAATGACTTTGTTTGCCTCTAGGTGTTCGTTGATTCGTTGTTTGATTATCTTTTCCAGGATCTTCCCAGGTATTGAGGTCAGGCTGATAGGTCTGTAATTTCCTGGATCCATTTTTTTTCCTTTTTTGAGGATGGGAACTACATCAGCTCTTTTCCAGTCCTCTGGTAGTTCCCCTGTGTTCCAGGATCTTTGAAAAATATAGTTCAGTGGCTCCGATATCACATCTGCCAGTTCCTTGAGAACTCTGGGTGTAATCCATCTGGTCCTGGCGATTTGAACTCATCTAGGCTGGACAGGTGCTCACTAACCATTTTCTTGCCTATCTTAACTTGTGTTTCTGTTTTGTTTTTTATGGCACTATTTTTGATAGGTTGGTCTGTTTTTTCCCTTTGTGTAAAGACAGATGCAAAACACGAGTTAAATAGTTCTGCTTTCTCCCTGTTGCTTGTCACCTTCTTGCCACTTCCACCCACTAATGGACCAATCGTTTCCTTCACTTTTTTCTTGTTTTTTACATGTTGAAAGAAGCTTTTTTTGTTATTTTTGACTTTGGTCGCAAGCCTTAGTTCATTTTGAGCCTTGGCTTTCTTCACTTCATCTTTGCAGGCTCGGGCTATTTGCTGATATTCTGACTTAGTTATGTTCCCCTCCTTCCACTTTCTATACTTGTCCTTTTTATCTTTCAATTTGTCAGAGAGTTCTTTATGCAGCCATGCTGGTTTCTTTTGAGAGCTGTTGTTTTTCCTCTTTGTTGGTATTGTGCTAGACTGTGCTTTTATTATCTCATTTTTCAAAATTTCCCAAGCTTCTTGAGTTGTTTTCCCCTTGAGGATTCTCATCCATGGAATCCTTCCCAAGCCCTCTCTAAGTTTATTGAAATTAGCTCTCTTGAAGTCCAAGACTCTAGTTTGACTGTGTTCTATTGGTTGTGCTTCTATAATGTTGAATTCTAATATTGCATGATCACTTCCTCCCAGGGTTCCTATGGCTTCAACACCGTCTATCATTTCATCTCTGTTAGTGAGAATTAGATCCAAGATGGCTAATCCCCTAGTTCCCTTCTCTACTTTTTGGGAGACAAAGTTGTCTGCTAGGTTTGCCAGGAATACTGGTGATGGGGAAGAAACTTGAGTTGTTGCTAAGATTTTTCTTCTTGACTTTTGCTCTAATGCTTCTTTCTAGAGAGTTGCTGAAGTTTCAGATCCCTGGTGGTATTCCATGCTTATCCTTCCTCCCCTGTTGAAGGACAGTGTGGCTGCTCCATTACTGTCTGCATACTACCCAGACTGTGTGGGTATGAGTCCCTCTTGCACCAGTACTCACCGATCGGTTAGTGAATCCAGTGTGATAAAAATGGAGAACTTAAAGACTCCACCTTCCATAGCCGGTAAGCCAGAATTTCTTTTCTGTCCTCCCTTAACTACTTTGTATTTAGAATTGAATTATGACTGAGAGTAGGCATTGTCAGCTGTAGGTTCAAGCAGATTTATTTTCCCAGTGACCAGTCAACATTGCCATTGTGTGTTTTCCATTGCACTTGATCCTGGATTTTTTTTTGACGCTATAGTTGTGAACTGGCTTTGCTGGACGATCGATTCTTTCTTGTGTTTCAGGGATGAACAAATACTTCCAGCCTTTCTATCAGCCCAACGAATGCGGTAAAGCCTTGTGTGTAAGGCCAGATGTCATGGAATTAGATGAACTCTATGAGTTTCCAGAATATTCCCGGGACCCCACCATGTACCTAGCGCTGCGCAATCTCATTCTGGCCTTGTGGTACACAAACTGCAAAGTACGTTTTATGCATTCTCAAAAGATTATCAAGTAATGCCAGCTTAATATTTTGATAACTCAGTGGGACTGTGAACCTTTTCTGTCCTGCCAGAACTCTGTCATGCCATCGTCTTCATAGTGATTGTTCCTGGGCTCTGAAACGTCTTGTAAGGAAGACCAAGCCAATTTTTCTTTCTTTATGCTTCATTCACTAGACTCAGAGGTTTTTATCTAAAGGTTTTTCACTTATTACTTTATTGATTTATTCATGAGGTTTATATGGTGGATGAGAAGCATATACGTTATTGCTTTTAGAAAAGGAAAATACAGGAATGCAGAGGTACTCTTTTCTGAAACGTGTGTTTTCCACTCATTTAATTCCGATGATCTCACTTTATAAACTCGGCAGGATAATTTCTTCACATGAAAGCTACACCACAACCTTCCCCAACCTGATTTCCTCCACATGTGTGGAAGCCACGATTCTTACAATTTCAAGTAATGCATTATACTTTCAAAACTTTGGAACACATCATGTCTGTAGTTGGTCTATCTCATAGATGTGCAACCCGTGGCTTACGAACAGCAAGAAAGCTTTCAGTGTATCTCCAGATTAGGTTGGGCCAAAATTTTGTTTCCTGGGGAAGGGAAATGGGGATTGTAAGAAGGGGGAAAAAACCGGTGCTTTAAGTCATGCACAATCTTAAGGAATTGATTTCATTTCTTGAAAACATCCAGAATCAGGCTAATTTCCCCTGCTTTATAGGTCACCCTTTCTGCTCCAAAAGTCAGAAAACATTGGTCCCATCTAGTTGGTGATGTCATTATTATGCAGCAAAACTGTTGAATGTGTCATAAGATTCTTAGTCATTATTTTTCAGAAGTGTAGATGACTATAAGCCAATATTCTTTGGTTGCAAGACAATTTGCTGTATGGCTTGAATTGGATTTGCTTCATGACTCTTTTTTTTCTTGTTTGGGCCTTGGTTTTCTTTCCTAAATCTACAGGAACCTCTAACCCCTCAGAAATGTACTCACCACATAATTGTTCGAGGACTAGTACGCATTCGCTGTGTTCGGGAGACAGAAAGAATCCTTCATTTTATGACCAGGAAAGGTCTGATTAATACAGGAGTTTTGTCAGTTAATCGAGACCAAGCCCTGCTTCCCAAAGACTACCACAATGTAGGTCTTTTAAGATTTAGTATATCATTAAGTTGGTTACAGAATATTCTGTACAAAAAACAGCCTAATAAAGATTTTCAAAGTAAAAAAATACGTTTCTGGGATGTTCTTAGTTCGGGTAGTCCTCGATTTAAAACCACAATGGAGCCCAACATTTCTGTTGCTAAGTGAGACAGTTAAGTGAGTTTTGCCCCATTTTATGATATTTCTTTGCCACAGTTGTTAAGCAAATCACTGCAGTTGTTACGTTAGTAACAGCTAAGTGAATTTGGCTTCCCCATTGATTTTGCTTGTCAGAAGATTGCAAAAGGTGATCACATGACTCTGGAATTTGCAACCGTCATAAATATGAATCAGTTTTCAAGTATCTGAATTTTGATCAGGTGACCATGGGAATGCTGCAATGGTCATAAGTGTGGAAAAATGGTCATAAGTCACTTTTACCAGTGCCATTGTAACTTCAAAAGGTCACTAAATGAACTGTTATAAGTTGAGGACTACTCTAGTTGGCAATAGTTCTCTTCAATGTGAATATTATCTCTATATTTTATGCAACTTGTACGAAATCTTGTAAGGACTATTTGACTAGCTAGATAGTATTTGTAATAGTCCTGCTTTTCTTCCTCGCAGAAATCTGTAATAGTGGTTGGAGCTGGCCCAGCAGGTTTAGCAGCTGCAAGACAACTTCAAAATTTTGGAATTAAAGTAAGACCTGATCATATAAAGCAAGACATTGTAATACTGTTGTCTTCTGGTATAATTTTATTATATTCTAATCACTTGAACATGAACTTTTACGATCCAGAAAGTATTCTAGTGAATTACTGCATTGCACAGTGGGGAATAGTGTTAGTATCTAGTTGCAGAGACTAAAGAATAAGATGACTTTGAAGTTATTATAATGTGGTTTCATTATGTAACATAAAGTTTAGCCAGCATTTGGATATGACAGATTCAACTGTCTCCTTACAGTTTCTTTCTTTAAGAAGAACTTCATATGAGTATGTCTCTGCTTAACACTTCAAGAGCCTATATTTAGCAATAGCACTTAGACTTATACACCGCTTCATAGTGCTTTACAGCCCTCTCTAAATGATTTACAGAGTCAGCATATTGCCTCCAACAATCTGGGTCCTCAGTTTACTGACCTCGGAAGGATGGAGGGCTGAGCGAACCTTGAGCCGGTCAGAATCAAACTCCTGGCAGTCGGCAGAATTAGCCTGCAATACTGCATTCTAGCCACTGCGCCACCATGGCCCACCTATTTAGGTCTCACCTCACTTTTGTAATTATATCAAAAGCTTGCTAAACAACCCACATAATTAGATAATGCTCTTCTGTCCTCTTGATGACTCTGGGGTGTTATACTAACTGCTGAAAAAAAAACCCATCGAGATTGAAGTATTTCTTAACCACCTCCATTACCTTGTTTGTATATTACAGGTCCTTGTGCTTGAAGCAAAGGATAGAATTGGCGGACGAGTATGGGACGATAAGACTTTCAAGGGGATCATTGTGGGAAAAGGAGCTCAGATTGTGAATGGCTGTATCAACAATCCTATAGCACTAATGTGTGAGCAAGTGGGTTGCACTTTTGAAGATGACACATTGCAGATAACAAGCTTAGTATATATTGATCCCTGTAAATGTACATGTGATTTTGGATACATTTTACAAGGACTTTTGTGTTCCACTGAAGGCCTTGACCTGAAGGCATTCTAATTGTAGGTTTTTGGGGAAGTTTGGGAAATGTTTCTTTAGTTTTAGCATATGGAAAAGAGCAAGGATTTGTCCGAAGGTTTGTATGGAGGAATAGGATATGAGGAGCTAAATACAATTCTTAAGAGCAAATAAATCATATTTTAACATTTTAGCTGGTGCTATTAAGCTACAGATAGCAATAGCACTTAGACTTATATACTGCTTCCTAGTGCTTTACAGCTCTCTCTAAGCAGCTTACAGAGTCAGCATATTGCCCCCAACAATCTGGGTCCTCATTTTACTGACAGTTGGAAGGTTGTAAGGTTGAGTCAACCTTGAGCCGGTCAGGATCGAACTCCTGGCGGTGAGCTGAATCAGCCAGCAATATGGCATTCTAACCACTGCGACACCATGGCGCTTCTGCATCCAAAGTTTCTTCCTGCATCATGGATTTAAATTTATAATGGATTATGTCACTCTTCCAGTAAACAACAGACCATTTTCAATTAATAATCCTTGTTATTTAGAATGCCTTTCCTTCATGACACATGGAACTAGGCTTATAAATATTTTATGATAAATTAAATAATTGATTCAGAGAGTAGAAAACTCTCAAGATTTCAAAAGTTTTCTTAGTTTTTGTTTGCTACCTGTTTTGATACCAATCTGGTAACTTGTCTTTAAAACACTGATAAATATTTTGTTGCAATAGCTGTTGGTTGGGATTATTATGTATTAATAATATCAATGAATATTTGGTTGGCACTGAAGTTTGAATTACTCACATGCTTACACCTTTAAAATTTCTTTTTCTAAAGTTGGGCATTAAAATGCACAAAATTGGAGAGAAGTGTGACTTGATCCAAGAAGGTGGAAGGATAACAGATCCTGCAATAGATAAGCGCATGGATTTTCATTTCAATTCTATCCTTGATGTTGTGGCAGATTGGAGGAAAGATAAAAGTCAACATCAAGACATTCCACTTGGAGGTAAGAAAGAATCATGAAAGAGTAAAAAAGTGCAACAATGGCAGCAGAATATTGCATCCATAGATGTATTTGTGTGTGTGTGTGTTAGTTTGTCTAATGTATATGTTCACATAGTCACTGAATTGGGCCAGTTTGAATCCTAGCTAGATGGACCTGGTTTATTGAATTGGTTTATTGAATAAGGACAGTTTGCCAGGTTTATACAATGTACTAAGGGGGGAAAAAGAGGAAAAAACAAAATATTTTTAATGCCCAGAATACAAGCTTGGTCATGTGTTGCTCACTGAGGAGAAGATAAAAGTAAAAATGGTCTCTTCTTCAAACTTATTTTATTCATCATTTGCATGTGTGAACAGCAGAAACTCAACCAATCCAGTTGTTAATAGGTTTCATTGAATTATTGCATTGCTAGGAAGAAATACAACTTTTGAAAGTGCAGAATTGTACTTTTATACACGATCTGGGAGAATTGTAACAAGTATCTTGAACTTGAAAATAAGCAAGGTTTTGTATTTATTAGGTTTGCTATGGCCTTATATTGACCAGATTAATATATGAGTGTATATTGGTAGAGGTAGTTGTCTCTGTCAGTGACCTGCCATCTACATGTAAAATGCTACCATAAAGTGGTCACTAGATAAAACCAGAGATTTTTAAAATTCTGGTATAAATGTCAGGTTAGTGAATTTAACTCTTACTGAAATGTCTGCAATTTAAGTGTTCAAATTTATTACATTATGCCTGTAGTATGTATGTGTGTATGGATTTTATTTAAATACATGTGCTAAATAGGTGCTGAAACAATGGGAAGCTGAGATAAATGAATACTTTTACTAACTATTGAACTGTTAAAACATTTGCAGATAAAATTCAGGAAATCTATAAAGTTTTTATTCAGGAATCCGGTATCCAGTTCAATGAACTAGAGGAAAAAGTGCTCCAGTTCCATGTTAGCAATTTAGAATATGCCTGTGGCAGTAACCTCCATGAAGTGAGTGGAAATAATTTTCTTACAATGACAGAACCATATGGTTAAAATATGTATTGCCAATTGTCTTAACAATGAATCCCGATCCCTATTTTCTTATTAAGCAGACATACTCCAAATTATAAATGTCTCCTGGCTTTAATTAATATGGGACTGATTCTAACTGAACAGTCTGAAAGAAAATTATAAAATGATTGGATGGGGCAAGTTAATGAACTAGTCTCCCAGAGCTTAGTAGGCAGTAGAATCCATTTTACATGACTACAAAATTCTGGCAGGTGAAATTCATCCTTTGCAAAAAAGGGATAAAACTGCCCTTCATTGGCTACATATAAGTTATTTGGGAGCTGCTGTGGGTGAAAAAGTTAAAAATGCTTTAGAGAACAGTACTGCTTGTTGGAAGGTATTTTTTTAAATCTCATGCTCAGATAAAGCTGGAAGAAGGTAACTCACTTGCAGTGTTAAATGTGCTAAGTCCTAGGCTTGAAAGAAGGGATGATATAGCTGCAGCCTGATACAATTAGCCTTTCACATATAGGACAGTCAGGAGAATGAGGAGATTTCTTTAGGTACGTGGGAAAAGAAAATATGCTAGTCTTCATCATCTTCCAAAGAGTTGAGTTGCAACTGAATGAACAATTGTCTTTGCCACATAGGTTTCTGCACGGTCTTGGGATCATAATGAATTTTTTGCTCAGTTTGCTGGTGATCATACTTTATTGAGTTCAGGATACTCAGCTATAATTGAAAAATTAGCTGAAGGCCTGGATATTCGGTTAAATGTTCCAGTAAGTATCAAAACCTGGAAAAATCATTTTTCTTGCTTTGTCATAGAATATTTCATTTCATTGGTTTGAACTGTATATACACAAACTACTTGAACTTTCCAAACTCTTGTATGGATGGTCAATTTAATATACATTTTGAAAGAAATATAAATAGGTCTTCATAGAGCCTATTTTAAATGTACACTAGACCTTTTGATAGTCTACTGCAGTGATGGCAAACCTATAATGTGTATCAAAGGTGCCACACCATGATGTTTTGGGTGGGAAGTCAGCGTTCATCAACACTCTACAACTATTCTCGAAAACACACCCCATTCTTGGAATTGTCGAGGTTGCAGAGGCTGTGTAAGAATGAGTGAGTGTCCGTGCAGCCTCTGGATACTCCAGAAGTTGCACGGGAGGGCCTTGCTTTCTCAAGGCCTCTGGAAATTGTTTAAGAATGGGGCATGTTTTGTGGGGTTTTCAGAGGTTGCCGAGGAGTCTTGATGCTGTATAAATATTTTACAATCTCCCTTTCATTCTTAAAAAGGTCTGTAGTATTGATTACTCAGGAGAAGAGGTAAAAGTGACCACAACGGATAGAACTCTGTGGACAGCAAAAAAGGTGATCTCTCATTCTTTGGGGTTGAAGTCTAGAACAAACAGACTGGCTATGTTTTTCAGCATTGGAGAACACTTTTATTTTGTTATTACTGTACTTTTGCCTTTGACAGCTGAAGATGGCATGTTTGATGTCATGAGGTTTTCATACTGGGTGGAGCTGACAGTTTTGATTCATCCTCTCCTCGGTGGAGGAGTAGGGAAGTTATATGCAATTGATGAATGTTCTTTAATCTTTTTTTAGAGCAAATATTGTGTGATCTGTGCTTTTGAGAAATGTTTTGTCAAGAAACAAAATATGCACTACAATTCTTAATATCTATTGTATTTCAAAATCCTGCAACTTGCCCTCACAAATGTAAAGTGGGAAAACCCAGACTGGTAGGCCAACCCATTCGATGGCACTCTCCCTCTTATTTTCATGACTCTTGTTAGCCGAATCCTGCATCCTCTTTCTAATCTTTGTGTGGCATTTAGAAACACCTCTTGGGATTGTGAAGTAATGTTAGGGCGTTTGAGATTGTGCAGTTTCAGATATGGTAAATGCATGGCCTCAGTGGCACTGGGAAGCTCTCAGGTGTTCTGCCTTGGTCATCCATTAACTGAGTCTCTTTGAAAGCAGTTCTGCTCAGTTACTTCCAAATTAAAAGACTTCAGCATTAAGAATATAGGATAGCTTTCCCTAGTCTAGTGTGATGTCTGTGGACTTCAATTTCCGGTGAGCAAACTGTTGCAATCTAAGTACCAAAATCTGTGGATGCAAAGTTAGGGAAGATCACAGGGCAATAGGAGACATTGCATGAAAATTATGCAGAGAATAATTTGGAAGTAAATAATACCAATTTGACTTCCTCTTTTGGATCTGTTTCGGGTTCTGCTCTATCAATAGAGGGAAGATTGAATGTTATTTGGTTTTGGGGAAGGAAAGGCAGTTGAAATGCTTGCTTGTGTCCTTGAATTACTAGGAGTTGAAAGAGGGAAAAACAAACATTTCCTTGATAGATTGTGTCTCTGAATTGTTTTAAAAGAGGAAGAGACTATTTATGGTCTTAGATAGGTGGTTTCCTACTTAACATCTTTTTCTGCATTGTTATCATGGCATTGTTCTTTTCTGGATTTGATCAAATTTATTGCTGGAAGAAAGTCACTGAAAGTTTTTTTTAAAGTAGTTTTTTTAAAGTTGGCTAAATGATTTTTTCCTGTGTTTTATTTCCCCTTTTAAACTGAGAAACAAATCTATTGAGTATACTGGGTTAAATTATTTTAATGTAATGTAGGGATAGATTAATTGGTTTATGTCTAGTCAGTTTCAGTTTCACACATATTTCCTTACAAATCCTTCTGTGCCCTTTCCCCAGTCCTGCAAATTAAAAACAAAAACCAAAGCAGCTATTTTAAAGAATATTGTTAACAAATTTCAACTCCTACTTGAATTGTAAAATTGTATCTCTCTAGATTTTTAATCAAATATGTTGCATAAACTAGACTTTTTAATTTTTATACTGAAAATTTTGAGATAGGATAATATATAACTACGAGAAGGATTCATTGGTAGCCAATTACACTATTAATTTAAAACATGGAAAAAAACATTTCAAGATATGAAATTCTGAGTAATTATTATATTATTATTTGCACATTAGCCCAGCAAAGTGTAAATTAGAAAATTTGGAAATATGGGATCCTTTAGCATTCTATTATAATATAATTAGGGCTATTTTTCTCTCAAAAGGTTCTAGTTGCTGTACCTTTAACTATTCTTCAAAAACCAGCAATTCAGTTCAAACCAGCTTTATCAGATAGAAAAATGAAAGCAATCAACAGTTTAGGAGCTGGAGTCATTGAGAAGGTAAGAGTTCGTTTTTTGTTATAAAAAGTAGAATACAAAGAGCAAATATTTGCAGGGAACGTTTTCCAATAGAAATATGTAGAGGCCAGTGAAGGCCTTCCAAGTCTATGCTGTAGAGAAATTATTATTTGAATACTGATATAGGTCCTTATACGTATATTAATATTTCTGGCAAAGGGTCCTAAAAATAATCTTGAGTTTCTATGGCCTCCATCTTAACTTTCTTTGAAGTTATGCTCTTTACGTGATCTGGCTGGACAAGCTTATTCCAGCAAAAATGGATTCCACATGTATGTATTCATAAAAATAAACCCAGAGTAGGAAGATACCCCTTTATTTTTCAAAACAGTCTTACCTTGAGATTTTTGGACATCGTTAGTTTGGTATAAGTTGGAGCTAAGCTAAGATTAATTCACTTCTCTATATACATTCCTAAAACGTATAAGATACTCAGTTGTTAAATATGTACTGTTCAAACTATATTTATTTAGTGATGTTAGTATGGTTGAGAGAAAAACCTTTAAAAGTAATGGCTTGATCCTATGCCCTATAACGGGATCTATGTTTACAGAAAGAGAGGGATTTTACTCCCTCCTGCTATATATTAAACTTATATAGGATGACAACCCAAGTGAGCAAAAAGTTAAATACTGCTTTTTTGTTTAGATTGCACTACAGTTTCCTTACAGATTCTGGGAGAGCAAAATTCAAGGAGCTGATTACTTTGGCCATATTCCACCTAATTCAAACAAACGTGGACTCTTCAGTGTTTTCTATGACGTGGACCCACAGGTATCCAGTATCTTCCTATTCTTCAGATTTGGAAAAAAAATATTATGTTAAGAGTTATCTTTCCCCTCTGTTTTAATGTAAGTTGACATTTTTCTAAAATAAAATCTCACTGCTTTACAGTACATTTGATGCCAAGAACATTTGACAGTTTTGACTTTTATTATCTAAAATGAAAGTGTTTGTGGCAAGACAAGATTTTTTTTAAAATGGTACTACAATTATTCTGCACTGGCACATGTTTTAAATAGGTCAGTTTTATGAGCTGGCCAGCATTCATTTAGAAATTGCTAAAGGGAGCACCAGTAGAGGAAACAATAGATGATCCTTGCTTTCTTGTTTTCAGCGTAAAAGCAGTGTTCTAATGTCTGTAATTACTGGAGATGCTGTGGGAACAATAAGGAATTTAGATGACAAGGAAGTACTGCAACAGTGCATGACCGTGCTTCGGGAATTGTTTAAGGAACAGGTTGGTTTCTTTCTCAGACACAACAACATCCATTTCATACAGATGGAAAGCAGAGACTTCCCAGGACATTTTTTTTTTAAAAAAAATTAAGGATGAATGGATTTATCATATGATCTGTTATTTTCTAAATGTTTGGTGTTAAATTTATTTTGTCCCACTTCTACACAGCTTCACAGTTAAAATGTTGTGTATATTTTAGCATACTAGGGAAAAGAGCATTTCACCTAATGCACATATTTTGTCATTTTAGCATAATAAAATATAATATATATATTTTTTCTGATGTCTTAGGGCAGCAAGTGTACCATATCCAAATGGTCTTTTTGCTGTGCTTTTGAATTTTCCAATCTTTCTTCCTCATGTCATGTACCTCTACATCAGGCTATCGATCTATTTATTTCAACATTGTCTGCACCAACTGGAAATAGTATTTAGACATTAGTCTGTATTAGCTGTCTGGAGAAACTGGAAACTTAATTTGAAATGTTGTGTCTAGCACTATCATGGATGCTTAAGAAACTGAAATTTGCAGGAAATGACTGAAGGAGTGAGTGAGTGACTGACTGACTGAATTCACTATGTTATAATTCAGAATCACCTCAGAGCACATGATTAATGAAGTCTGCTTTGTTTAGTTATTCACAGGACAATTGTGCATTTTTATGTTTTAACAAGATGTTTAAACATTCAATATATGTTTTAAACAAGTGTCCAGATTTGGACACAAATGGTTTCATTTTATTACTATTAATTTAGCTTATCTTTGTAATTCAGGAAGTGCCAGATCCGGTCAAATATTTCATTACAAGATGGAGCAAAGACCCTTGGATCCAAATGGCATATAGTTTTGTAAAGACAAGGGGCAGCGGTGAAGCATATGATATACTTGCTGAAGACATACAGGGAAAACTCTTCTTTGCTGGAGAGGTGAAATTTCAATTACGTACAGTTTTTAAAAATACAGCCTCGTTCAAATCAGAACTAAGTTTGAAAAGACTAAACACATATTCATGCTTTGAATAGGCATTGCAGATAGTAGAAGGATTTCTGAATTTATTATAGGTAGTCCTTGGACAATTGGGACTGGAATGAATGTTGCTAAGCAATGCAGTCATAAAAGTGCAATGTCTAGAAGAGCTTTTTCTGCTGTGGCCCCCACCTTTTGCAACATCTTGCTCCCTGAGGTGAGATCAGCCCCCATTCATCTGGTCTTCCAGAAGGGTCTTAAAACCTGGCTCTGGTTGACAGGGCCCCCAAAAGGTACACTCTTGGCTGCAGGTTGTTGTTGCAGCAACAAAGATATCACCTCTGCACTGTTTTTAGTCTGTATTTAACTCCTATTTTAAATGGTTTTTTGTATTCATATTTTTGTTGTACTGTAAGGCAACAAGAGTTGGTTGGATAGTGAGATGGGCAGCATATAAATGTAATAAATAAAATGTCATGTGACTGCATTGCTTAGTGACAGCAATCTCAGGCAGACCCAGTTTTAACCTGAAGATATAGGAAGAGGTGGGAGCATGTGGATGCTGCAGGATTGGGGAGCCTGGGGGAGGCCATATGTGAGTCATGGGAGGCCATGGCAGAGCCTGGAAGGGCCAGTAGAGGCTATGAGTGTATGGGTGGGAGAAGAAACTGGAGTGACTTGTAACCCGCCTTCCCCATCGAGTTCGTTTGTGGAAGGATTGCAAATGGTGATCATGTGACCATGGCTTTCTGTAGTGTCATGCTTTGAGCTGGACACCCAAGTGCTTGGCCTACAGTTGTCTGATTGCAGGGATGCTGAGATGGCCGGCATTTGAGAACCAGTGATACGTCCATTTTTTTCAGTATTGCAATAACTTTGAATAATCATTGAACAAATGGACAGATTACCTGTAATAGTGTTAAGCCATGGGTACCTATTTATGTTTGCCATAAAGTCCTTCTTTAATGTATTTCCTTCAGGGATGAACTTCCTTGTTATCTCCCTGATTATTTTCAGGAGGTTGAAGGCTTTTTTGGTTATTTTGCTCCTAGAGATTTTTGTTTTTAAAGATTTGTAACACCTTCTACAGCATATTGGTAGTTCCCCCCAATTGTTTAGCTGAAATGTTGTAGATCTACTTTTATAGTTTGCTGCTTGATTTCTGCTTTGATAAACAAGTTACATAAATTTCTATAAAACATCTCTAATTGTAGATTAAGTAGATCTTTTATAAAGAAAACCTTTTCTTTGAGGATGGCATATTGTGTATTTTAAGAATTTTGTTAATTATATTTCTCTCAAAATATATATTCTGAAACTTATTTTGTTTTAAACAGGCCACAAATCGGCACTTTCCGCAGACAGTTACAGGAGCCTACTTGAGCGGTGTTCGAGAAGCAAGCAAAATATCAGCATTTTGAATACTAGAGTTTACATTTTAAAACAAATTTTAACTCCACATGGTGCTCAAATTTGTGAAGACAAAAGACAGTTTTAAGCTACTTCATTGTTTATGCCTTGAAGATGCACTTCAGTTTTATCAGAAAAGCTTGTAACAGTATCATTGCTTCTGAGCATTGCTGGCAGCTAGACAAGCTTATTCATCCCTTATTTTTTCAACTGTATTAGGAAAGGTAGAACTGTAATGAACTTTAAATAGTGGTAGATGGACTGTCAAATAGCTCATTAGTTGAATGTTTCTTCAAAAGGATAGTAGGTTTCTCCAATCATGTCTAGGGTGAAAAAAAACCCTTAAGAAATAGTTATAAATATAAACATGGAGGCCTTTGGTGCCATTCAGTTATATATTATGCATAAACAATCTTAACATTTATTATTGACTTGCAAAACATGACATAAAAAGAACTGTGTGAAGCTTAGTATTTGCTTATCATGTAAATGGACTAACAAAAAATATTATGTGGACATTTCCTTTCTGTCCAGTTACAGTTTAGGTAATCAGAACTCTAATTAAGGAAGTGTAATGGAAATAGGCAACTCTGAAAACTTTTTTTGGCTTAAAATTGGACTTTTTGAAAAGTTAAATGATGTGACATCTTCCAGAAGAAAACAAATTTAAGATGTTGTAATAACACATGATGTTGTACAGTGACAATTTCAGCATAAATTGCCAACATAAATATCTGTTCTTTATTTTTCAAAAACATCCTGTAAACATATTTAAAAAATGTTTTCTAAATATATAGTGGAAAGGCTTGCCTCCTGGAATTGTGACTGCTCCATTGCTGGATATTTTCAAGAAAAGATTGCTCAATCATTTGTCCAAGGTGGTATAAAGACTCCTGCCATGGGCAAGGGGATGGACTAGAACAGGGCTTTTCAACCAATAATACACCTGTGGTACACTGGCACGTGGCAGGTGGTATGCGGCCCAGCCCAGCCCAGCCCAGGGTACCGGGGAGGGGGAACGAGCCAAAGCAGCACAGTGCAGGACTTGCCATGACCGAGTCTTCAGGATCTGCAGGGCTGCTTGGGGTGAGGCATAGGCCCTAGGATCAGCACTTCTGGCACACCAGGAAGAGAAAGGAGGAGGAGGGGGCAAAGACAGGGATATAAAAGGTGGCAGTTTGGGCAGGAGGACAGAAAAAAAATATGCGGCTTTAGGAGAGTCAGCTGGAGCTGCACCAAAGGGAAAAGGAGAAGGAGGGGCAAGAGAGGAGAGGACAAAAAACAGGCTGGGCGCGCACACAGGTGGCAGCGAAAAACAGATAAACGCAGCTGGGGAAGGGTCGCGGCATGAGAATCCATGTTACCTACACCATACCACCCAGCCCCCCCCCCAAGTCTGCCCAATTTCGGCAGGTAGTGGCATGCTCCTCACCGCGTGGAGAGGCTGAGCCGGCTTCCCTCCTTCCCTTCTCTCTTTGCCCCTTCCGTCCCTCCATCCCCAGGAAGGGACAAGGGAAGGGGGACAGGCTGCCAGTGTGGCTGTGCTGCCGGTGGCCATGGCTTGAAAGGCCACTGTAAATTGCTGGACAAGAGCCGCACAGTGTTAAGAGCAGAGTGGCGGGAAGATATTTGTAATGAGGGAGAAAAACAGGCATCCCCTGAAAGAGATTAGCAAATGACCCTCGCCCTCTTCACACATTCATGGACTTAGGGGGAGGGGATGCTGCGAGAGTCCACGTTACCTGCGCTACACCGCCCAGACCCCAGCCTGGTTTTGGCACATAGCCGTGTGGTCTTCTCACATGGAGCAGCCTGGTGAGGCAAACCAACGACATGCTGAATCTGCCTGTGCAGGTAAAAGGGAAACGCTGAGAATGCAGTCAGTCTGCATGGCAAAACAGTCATCTGGACGCCAGGCACTAGGTGCATGCGCTTGCTTCTGTGCGCGCACAGGCAGGTTTGGAATGCGCCAGTTTGCCTTGGCAGGCTGCCTGCTGAAACCAGGCTGGGGTCTGGGCGGCGTAACGTAGGTAATGTGGACCCTCATGCTGCTCGCAGTGTCCCTTCCCCCGGAGTCCACAGGTGTGTAAAGAGGGCGAGGGCCATTTGCTGATCTCCTTCAGGGGATGTCTGTTTTTCTCCCTCATTACAAATATCTTCCCGCCACTCTGCTCTTAACTTTGTGTGGCTCTTGTCCAGCAATTTACAGTGGCCTTTCATGCCATGGCCACCAGCAGCACGGCCACCAGCCGTGCTGGCGGCCTGGCCCCCTCCCCTTGTCCCTTCCTGGACATGGCGGGCGGGAGGGGAAGGGACAAAGGAGAGGAAGGGAGGACGAAAGGAAAGGGACATTGAGAGGGAGGGAGGAAAGGGACAATTGAAGGGGGGGGAGGAAGGGACAAAGGGAGGGAAGGCGCCCACCCCAGTCCCACCCCCCTCCATCAGAGACCCATGAACCCCCCCACAGGCGCCCCACAACCTGAGTGACAAGCTGGCCACACACCCTGGCCATTGATTTCACTTGTCAAAGTTGCAAAAGGTGATCACATGACCCTGGGACACTGTGACCGTCATAAGTATGAATCAGTTGCAAAGCATCCAAATATAAATCACATGACCCCGGGATGCTGCAACAGTCATGAGTGCGAAAAATGGTCATAAGCCACTTTTTTCAGTGCTGTTGTAACTTCGAACAGTCACTAAGCAAATTGTTGTAAGTTAAGGACTACATGTACTTTATCATTTTTTCCCTTTTTTTGGTCAGGTTTTTGACACTTTGCTAGGCGACTAGTGATACTTGGATATTGCCTTATCCTAAAAGTGGTACAATGGGTGAAAAGGTTGAAAAGCCCTGGACTAGAAGACTTTCAGGGTCCTTTCTAACTCTGTGATTCTATGAAAATCTGAAGAGTAACTGGATTTATACAGTAGAGGACAGATTGGAAAATAATTACTCTTTTAAAATAGCGACAATTTTAATATTGTATATTTTACTAAATTAAATAGCCAGACTATAATAATGAAAACATGTATATAAAGAAAAACAAAATAATCCTGATTTGTGGAAATTTTCTCATCAAAAATGCTAAGACTGTGTGAATGTTTATCTAAAGCAGTGGTCCTCAACCTGTGGGTCGGGAGCCCATTTGGGGTCGAACGACCATTTCACGGGGTTTGCCAAACAACGCAGTCCGCCATTTTTTCCCCTTTTCCTTAGCTGTGCTACTCCCTTTTATTCTATTGGCTTTTGAAAGCCAATAGAATAGACTCTCTTGAATAGAGTCTAATTCTATTGGCTTTCAAAAGCCAATAGGAATTGTCCAGGCTGTCTCTGCCCTGCTGAGCCCGCCAAAAGTCCCATTCTGCAAATGGTGCTGCACCAGTTGAGTAGTCCTCGACTTACGACCGGTTGAGTAGTCCTCGACTTACGACCGGTTGGGGATCGCGGCATTAAAAAGGTTGAGAACCACTGATCTAAAGCAGTTTAACTGTTTTGTTTACCTAAACTTATTTTCTTTGGTACCGTACTTTCCGGTGTATAAGACGACTTTTGCAAGCGTTAAAATCGGCGCCAAAGTCGGGGGTCATCTTATACGCTGAGTTGTCTTATACGCCGGAAATAACGGTAGTTTCCGGCATATAAGACGACTTTCTAAGCATGCAACTCGGCGCCGAAGACGGGGGTCGTCTTATACTCCGGGTCGCCTTATACGCCGGCATATATGGTACTTGTTAACCCTTTTATGTGAAATTTTTAACAAATAACAAATTGTATTAGGCAATAAGGGAAACATGTCTTAAACTCAGATGATATAATATGGAATATTTACATACTGAGGAATAGGCATCTGTAAGTATTTTATCATCATCAATGTGGAAATCCTACTTTAAATATTGAATCACTTTATAAATTGCTTTTACAATAAAGATCAGATATGAACATTATTTTTTGACATTTATTTAAATGAGCTAAAATGTTCACGAAAAAATCCCAACCATTTTAATTGTGATGTTCATTTTGAAACTTGCTCATTTACTTACATATAGCAGCTTATGTCTTGTAAAACACTTTGAAGTGTTTACTATTGATATGATATGTAAAGTGACTTAATAGCAATACAGTAACTGAAAAAATGCTCATCTGTTTATAATACAGGTAGTCTTTGACTTACAACAGGGGTCTTCAAACTTGTCCCTTTTATGACTTGTGGATTTCAACTCCCAGAATTCATCAGCCAGCGTCCCTGGCTGAGGAATTCTGGGAGTTGAAAGTCCATGAGTCATAAAAGGGACGAGTTTGAAGACCCCTGACTTGCAACCACAATTGTATCCAAAATTTCTGTTGCTAGGCAAGACATTTGTTAAGTAAGATTTGTCCCATTTTATGAACTTTCTTGCCAGTTGTTAAATGACTCACTGAAGTTAATGATATGGTTGTTAAGTGAATCTTGTTTCCCCATTGACCTTACTTGTCAGGCGGTTGCAAAAGTGATCACATGACCCCAGGACACTGCAATCGTCATAAATACATGCCAGTTGCCAATCGTCTGAATTTTGATCACGTGACCGTGGGGATGCTGCAACCTTCATAAGTGTGAAAAAAAGTAAAAAGTCACTTTTTTTCAATCCTGTTGTAATTTTGAACGGTCACCAAATGAATGGTTGCAAGTTAAGGACTACCTGTACAGTCTATGTATATAACACATGTGACTTTGTACCTCTTCTCCGCTTAGGCTGTTTTGAAAAAAGAAATAATATAAGAAGTTGGTCAGCTTCTTAGATATTTAAAGAAAAACATGTTGGCATTAATTCATAAAAATAGAAGATTAAAGACTAGGAAGAGGTTGAAAAGAGTTGGATATAGTGGTACTTAAGCATACTGACATAACCATAAGGGTAGGGTAGCTTTCATTTGTTTTTTTTTATTTTATAATTTACTTGTAATTCAAAACTGAACATTTATAATTGTTTACTGACCAAACAGACAAACAAATAAAATAGGATTTTTGTTTTCCTTAGAATGACATACTTAAAAGCCAAGATTATAAATCAATTTGAAGTCCTGATTTTGATTAATCCTATACATCAGTGTTTTCCAAACTTGACAATTTTAAGGCATGAGGACTTCAACTTCCAGAATTCCACAGCCAGCAACGCTGGCTGTGGAATTCTGGGAGTTGAAGTCCACATGCCTTAAAATTGTCAAGTTTGGGAAACACTGCTATACATGATAGATGGGGTCTATTTGCCTAACTAGTTTCTTTAAACAAATGTATGTCAGTATTGTTAATATATACAGGTAAAAGCTACCAACAAGTAAAGGACATAACTGAGAAACAGAATAAAAGTCTAATGATTTCCTGTGGCACCTCACAGTTCCTTAGAAATATTTGGAGAATTAATCATTACATTTTTTATTCTTTACAATAATTATTGCTTAAGGAAATGTATGCTCATACAAAAGTAAGGTTTCTTATCTTGAAATATTTTGTCTAGACACACACAAGCACCTTTGATTCTGCATCAGGTTTTACTGTACATGTATTAAAATATCAGTGTACATTTTCCTTAAAGACATTTATTGAATAAAAAACTGTTACACTCAGCTTAATAAAAATGACCGCATGCAAAGAAAGTGGTAAAAATGATAGAGGTCAATCAATTAACAATATATTTTGGAATATAGATCTATGATTCCTTAACTACATATTAGTATATTATTTAAAACCTGCAATCATTTTAATCAATACAGTCATGGAGAAATTAATTATACTTGATTTCACTTTATGACACATTTATTTGGCATTTGCTAGAACTTTTAACACATGATCATCTGACTCGTTAAAGGATTTTGGTGAACAGGTACTTAATTCTGGAATCGAATAAAATTTTCATGAACAATTATTTGTAAAATTGAGATTTTAATTTAGGAGTATCATACTAAGCAGGAGCCACTTAAGTTTAATGTATTTAAGTATGCATACTCCCAATTACAGATTCTGAGAGTTCAAAATAAGGATGCAGTTTTGCAAGAATACTAAACTGTTTAACTGACACCAGATAAATGGTCAATATTCTACTCTAAATTATTAAAAGGGAGATTTTTATTACTACCCACCTTGGGAAAAACATTTTAGAAATCAAAATCATTTTTTTATGAATTAACAACATAGGCTATTGCATTAAGCCTTTAGAGGTATAATCCTCTGCACTCAGTTAAAGACTGAAAAATGAGTGAAAATTAAATTTCTTCCAAAAACAAATGTGTTATCTTTTGTATGGTGATTATATTTACTTCCTACTTAATCACAACTTGATTCATAAACACTGATACTGGTCATAAATCATCTAAAACACATTTTTCCTTCTTAACTTGGTTTTAAGCAAAGAAATCTGAAGCTTATATACAAAAGCTTTTAAAAGTACAAAAATAATATCTATTTGTGATTGATCATGCTTTACAATTTTCAGTTGTATACACATGCAAGAGAGTAAAACAGCAGCACTCCTAGTCAGGGCATGTGACCAGCTCCTGATAGAAAAATTACCAACTTTTTAAAAAATGAGTTTACTATAATTCCTAAATTTTGCATGATAATACATGTCCCCTACTTTTACTTTGTACATTATGATATTTCTTTGTAAAAGTAGTCATATAGCTATTGTAAGAGTGTAAAATGTAGAGATTTTTTTAAGAGAACATGAAAGCTGTTGTATAATTCATATTGTTCTCTTAAAAGAATCTCTACATTTTACACTAAGACTTACAATAGCTATATGACTACTTTTATGAAGAAATATCATAATGTACAAAGTAAAAGTAGGAGGCATGTATTATCATGCAAAATTTAGAAATTATATTAAACTCATTTTTTAAAAAGTTGGTAAATCCCATCAACACTCAGAACATTAAGCCAATAGTCATCTCTGACTAATTAATACCAAAAGAGCAAAATAAAAATCAGAACAAAAATAATAAAGTTTACATTTTGCTGGTATTTCTAAAATATTTAAATCCAGGAGAACAAGACTGTAGTCTTCATTTTCTTCCCATTAGATCATGAAATGAGCTAAAAAAAAAGAAAATATTTCATCTTCTATATAAATTCATCTTTCCATGTACACTTTGCTCAGGCTGAAATTTTAACATCTTACTTTAGAGAAAGTTCCCAGAAAATCAACAGGATTTTCAAGTAAATATTAACATTTTTGCCATATTATTATATATCTATAGCATAAGATTAATAAGTGATTAAACAAACATTAAAACAAAATTACCAAGATGCAATTAAGCACAGAGATGAATAAAAGTTGGGCCTGGTTTCAGTAACTGAGTTTGACAGTTAAACGTTTACCACTCAGTTTTTAAGATTTCTAAAATTTAAATATATTTATTTACCAAGCCTATCTCAGTGAAGTAAGGCATATATTAGAATTGAAATCTAACATGATATCTCATTGATCAAGTATTTACCTCTTTCACTGTCTTTTTGATGAATTCTTTTCTGTCAGATAAGTCATAACTGGGATAGTTTTTATATACCTGTAATGATCAATTTAGAATAAGTGTAATCAGTAAAATGGAATAAACCTACTTATGATAGGAAAAGAGGAGGATTTTCTTTTAAGAACTATTTCCTTCAGTATTTTCTTTATTAAAATTATTCCATCAACTATTTGCACTAAGGAAATTACACAATAAAAATAAAAAGTATTCATGTCCCCAACTATTATATAATAATAATAAAGTTGGAAGGGACCTTGAAGGACTAGATGACTTTCAAGGTCCCTTCCAACTTTACTACTACTACTACTACTACTACTACTACTACTACTACTACTACTACTACTACTACAAAACTGAGGAAAACTAGTACTGACTTGCACTCCATTCCACAGTTAATCTTTTCCAGCTCTCATCTTCATATACGGAAAAGAGAAAACTAAACTAAATATTTATCCTGAAGGTTTACTCTTGTTTGGTTTGATAAAGACATTTAAGAATAGATTAATGTTCCCTATAACTTGGGAAGGCAGGGCTCATATGACCTAGATATTTATCTTTTAAATGCTGTGCTGCTGGACTCCTTCTGCTTCTGTCCTATAGCTGATCCTGAGACAGCACAAACCAAAGGAGTCCATCAAACAGAGGAAGACAAAAAGGAGCAGGTATGTGTGTGTTAACACATGACATTGTTGCCAGAAATTGGGCCAATTACTCCTCTGTCCAAGCTAACTGCTGCAGAGGCGGAATAAAGGAAGATTTCTGTGTATATTACTTGAGATCTCATTAAAAATAGATTTATTTATTTATATTAAAAAAAACTTCAACATATATTACAGAAGAGCTATGAAAGAGAAAATATACAAATCAATACTGAAAGTGTCAAATTAGGACTGGGAGGCTCACATTCAGAATTCTGTTCCATTATGATTCTCATTAGTGACCATGGGCCTATCAGTATATCTCACCACAGCACCCTACTTTTTTCTATACAATTCATGTGTTGTTGATGGCCAAGTAGGCAAAACACAAGTACATTTATTATGCATGCTGCATTCTCTTTTGTACTATATACTATATTTTCTTTTATGCAGGGTAGTCTGTAATATGTAATAAAGTTTGGTTGACTAATTATATTTCAGCACCTCATTGGGCTGATTTCAAGCATTAAAGGGAGGGCAAGGAAGGAGACTTTATATCCCTGCTGCAAAGGCAAAATCTGGATCTTTATTCTTAATCCTGAAGTCTAAATACATACAGTAAATAGTATACAAAATAAATGTCAAATGTATACCTCTTTACAAATTTGTTTCATAGTAACTTCCTCCAAATTTGCATCAGCAAGTAGTTTCTTCACAGTTTCTTTCAATTCTTCATTTGTGGGTGGCTTTTTCAATTTTTTAATTAAAGGCTCGTCATCTGAACTATTCTCAGATTCACTTTCTAAATGAAAAATATTTTGTTAAAATGCAGATAACTTTTTTCTTCCCACCAGTCAAATTTAATTTTGAATAAAATTGCAAATTAGTTCATATTAAGGAAAACTTTACGTACCGGGATTTTTCAACAAGAAACAATCAAACAGTAAAAGACATCTTTAGATTTCTTTTCTCCCGTTCTCAGACCCTCCAACTTTACTATTTCTCAACCAGTCATCTCTGGGTTCTTTTCACCCACTATAGATGGGAAAGGATATTCAAGATCATGTTTGATCTCTAACATGGTTGATTCCCCTGAAAAACAATTCCTCCTAACCTGATAGGAACAAATTCAAAATTGCTCTAGTTTCCATCCAACAGCTCTAAACCATGTGATTGAAGATGTTTAATAAAAACTGAGTTCAGTATTTCCAATTGGCCTACCAGGACATTTCCTTTTGGTCCCAACAGCCAAAGTGAACATTAAAAGCCGTGAAATAGTACAAAATATTTTGAGAAATTAAAGTGGCCTTGCTCCTCGAAAAATATACATAATTTGAAATTAGTTTTTTTATCCGCTTATAATAACTTAGATTTTATGAACGGTGGACTTACCTTTTTTGGAAGAATTTTGACTCTTCTTGGTTGTACTGCTATCTGCTTTCTTAACATTAGCATTTTTTGAACCCTTTTTGCTTTTTGAAGCTACTTTTTGTTTGGGTTTTTCTTTCTTTGCTGTTTTTTTAGGTCGCTGTGAGGTAGGTAGAAAGCATAGTAAAATTTATTTCAATATCAGTTTTAAATATACTGAACAAATTTAATGCTAAAGAAATAAAATAAAAATGTAATCCATTTAAACTCTCTCTATATGCTTTACCTGTCCAATATCTGTGGCTTGTTAAAACAGGTGTTTCTATTTTTTTTTAGTATGCAAAAAGGTACATTATAGAACAAGCAGAGTTGTACCTAGACATCTGATACATAGATAATTTTGTCCTTAAAATAACAATGTTATAACATTATAAACTGCCATTTATAACTGCCATTATTCAGCAATTCTTTTAAGAATCATTTATAACATTAATATATCTTAAATGCGGTAAATTTAGGTATTTTGGGACTATCTGTAACTAACTGATCCCATGCTGTTGCCATTTAACTTAATTTACAGATGAGAGTATAATTCTTCTTTAGCACATATTATTTGTACCAAGGTTTTTACCTCTTCTTCACTTTCTTTATCTTCCTCAGATGATTCATCTTTCCTTTTCTTTTCATCGTCCTCACTACTAGATTCATCAGTCAGGATTTCAGGACATTTGGTGTGTTTGGCTTTCCGTGCTGTTCCAGAGCTACTACGTTCTTTTTTACCACCTTTTTTGGATGTTTTCTTGGATTTTGGCAATGGCTATTAAATATTGAAAATGAAGTAATTTAAAAAAAAAACCAACCAAAGTAGTTTTATAATCTATACATACCATAGGAAATACTGCAACTTAACTAACTTTGATGATTGTTCCTATTTTAAATTTTTTTGAAGGGAAAATAGTTTTATAGGATTATAGGTTTACTTTAAGTGAATCAATGTTTTATGACTTTCTAAATTGTTTTTGTGTTAACTTTAGTTTTCAATACATTTTATTTTATGTTTTCATAGTTTTATTATCCTCAACTTATTTTTGCTTTTGTGTTAACCTCCTAATTCATTTTGTATGGAAAGTCATGCTATAAATCAGATAATAAATGTATTTTTTAAAAAAAGAACTGAGTAAGAATTTAGCCCCCATTCAGAGTAAATATTGAATGTTACATATCAGTGATTGTTTTGATACATTTTTTTGGAAGTGCTCTGTAAGTGGGCAGTAACTCCAAGAAAGTTGGTTCCACAGAAATTCAGCAGAAGATTCTAAAAAGCAAAGTTTAAGAGTTTTTATTCCCTGCTTGAAGAGGATTATTTCTTTACAATTTGCATTCAGTCATTGGTCTCATAGATTCTGGGGATCTGAGACACTGACTTTCTATTATCTATAGAGATTAGGAAAGATTGGAGAGGCAAGGAGAATACAGTTTTATAAAATTTAATGTTATTACAGAACAAAACTTAAAATACTTTATGAACTGTAGTTTTGTTCTAAATGGCTACTTCAATTTGCATCTATTTTCTGTTTTTTTTTTTAAAAAAATAAAGAAATAACCTAATAGTTTGAAAAATAAAGTCCCACTAAAATGTTTTATTTTCAAAGCATATTAGTGCAACTCTAAGATCGTCACATGCCCTCAATATTTATATGACTTTCCACTCACACAATACTATAGCTTATCAGTTTGTTGCATCTGCTTTCAGAAAATGTGACCCTACAAATATATCTAAAATAAGCAGTCATTGAAATGGTTGAAAATCATATACTTCTATTGCTAACAGAATCACGAAGACATAATCATCCCATTCAGATAAGCATTTGTAGATGCAGGGCAACTCTTGAAAATAACAATTTTTAGTAACCTTACTGAGGCTAAAAGGGCATAGATAAAAGTTACTATAGATAAATTTTAGCATCAATCTCAAATATCTCACCCGTATAATTGTGTCCTAAGCCATGGCACATGGGTATGCATGAAATAAGTAAAGCATTAGTGTAATTTTGTGCTAACAGAAAGGCTCAGGAGAAACAGCTATAAAAAACCAAGCACAACATCCTGTCTTTTTTGTTATAGGGAGCAATATTAATATGTTCAAATTATGTCTTAAGCCCCATTTTAGTTTAGATTAAAGCAATGATTTATGAATAGCTCTCACCTTGCCTGAAGGTTTTGGATGCATTAGGAAATTTAAGATTCTTGCTACCAGTTCACTGTTAACTCCTGATCTTTCCAAATCAAGAACTTCACATATGCTTTTTAGCATTGCATTTCTGTATCTGTAGAGTAACAGACTTTATTAAACATGTTTTAAAAGTATTTACTAAATATGTAATACAAATAGACAATGTATTAAATATAGGTAATATAAAAATGTGGGATATATATATATATATATATATATATATATATATATATATATATATATTTGTGTGTGTGTGTGTGCGCGCAAGCACATGTACACGCTTATGCACTATACATACACGCACACGCATAAATTACACATAAATACCAATACAACTTGAAAACTGTGGAAGACCCTACAGTTAATACAAATAACTAGAGAAAACATTAAAATTTGACAGTAGAGGACCTTTAATACTTCTTCCAAAATAAAAGTTGGTCTTTCAGCAAATCCTTAAATATGAATATGATTATATTGCTAAATTCCTAAGCTAAAATTTCCAAAGCTAGTACAAAGGCAACTAATATATTGACTTGGATTGTATTTTAAATGTACAGATGTAAAAACCTATTCTCAAAGCTACACTGCTGTAAACAGTATCAGCAACAATGTAATGTTTTAGTATAATTTAAGGTAATGATTAAATTTTGTTTATTTTTTAAATATAAGCTATGTTAGAGAATAATGTCAAATTATATTACATTATATTCACAGAAATGATTTGAAATATTTGTAAGGGACGTTACTAATTGAATTTTGTCCTGGGAATGCACATTTGGCTCCAAATATTTTGAACATTGATTATATTGCTTAAACATGTTAAAGTCTCACTTTTTCAGCATTTCTTCCTTTTTCTTGTATTGATCACTTCCTTTTTCAAATGGAAAGCCACTGAACTGTCCTACATTCTTTTTCAATGAAGCAACCTAAAAAAGAATACAGTTGGTCAGTATAAAATAATATTGCAATGTTCTTTATTTTATCTAATTGTCAAAATATCGAAGTACAAATGTATAGCCTCAAAATCAGACAGTAAAACTGTCATGTCAACTTTGACTAAGTTCTAAATATATAACAATGAAACTATAGATAGTCCTTGATATACAATCATAATGGATTCTGCCCATTAAGAGGAGCTAATTCTGGCTGCACAAGACCAAGCCTTAAGAAGAAATGCACACAAAGAGACAGAACTGAAAAAAGCAACAGACAGCAAATGCTGCCTCTGCAAAGAAGATGAAAAAATGGTGAGCCACCCAGTTAGTTGTTGCAAGATGCAGACTAAACTACAAATGACATGACAAAGTAGCAACAATGATGCATTGGAAGATCTCCAAGATCTCTTGCCTACAAACAAGAATTGTTAAGACCATAAAAGAAACAATGTAATAGAAAATAAAAAAAGTTAAAGTGCTCTTAAGAAGTTAAAGTGCTCTGGCAGACAAGCATCTACCACATAATCATTGTTGATAAGAAAGACAAAAATGTCTGGATAATGCACATGGCAGTGCCTGGTCACAGTAAAATAGGAGAGAAAGAACTGGAAAAACTAACAGAATACAAACATCTGCAAATAGAAATAACATGACTGTGGCAAAAGAAAGCAACTATAGTAACAGAATAGGCACCTTGGGGGCAGTACCAAAAATCTGGATCACTTGAACAGAGTAGCATCAGCATTGACAAAATCACCATCAGCCAATTGCAAAAGGCAGAACAGCTTATATCTTGTCACAATATCTTTAACCTTTAATATCATCAAACAACATCTGCCTATCCTTGGGAAGGGGTTGATAGGTGGACAAAAACATCTGGCTGTGTGACGAACAGTAATAATAAAAAACTGAATTGAACTTTGACCCAGCACTAGCAGATCCCATATTCATCAACATGACACTTTAACAGAAAAATATTTTTATAAATAGAAAAATATCTATTTGAAAGCCTAGAGATAAGGATTCAAGGAAACCTGTAGCCAATTTTACATTGCCAATAGGTATGAACACTTATTTTTCTTGAATAGCAATTTTTTTGCAATTACTATTTGTTTTGGAAATGAAAGGAAACTGGATCAAATACAGATGGTCCTCAACTTATCACAACGAAGCCCATAATTTCAGTCATAAGTTATTGCAGTCATAGGTTGAAGCACACATAATTGGAGCTAATTTTATGACCATTTTTACAATGGTTGTAAAGCTGGTAACTGCAGTCATTAAGCAAATCATGTGGTCATTAAGAGAATCCCAGATTGTTGGGGGCAATGTAAATATATATATACATTGCTTACTGGTGTACACCGCTTAGAGAGTGCTTGCACTTAAAGCAGTATATAAGTCTCATAAATAAATAAATAAATAAATAAAATCCAGCACATCCAGTGGGATTTTTTTTTGTGTGCCATTTTCTGCTGGAAAATATTGAAAATCACGGTCACACAACTGGACAATTCTGCAACCAGTCATGTATGTGAGCCAGCTGCAAAGCACCCAAAATGTGATCACATAAACATGGGGGTGTGGGTGCAGCAGTTGTAACTTTGAGAATGGGTCATAAGTAGCTTTTTTGAAGTCCATCATAACTTTAAATGGTTGTTGAGTGACCTATTGAAAGTCAAAGATTACTGGTAACCAAAAGATAAACAATGTAATTCTAAGAAGCATAAATAAAATATGTGCTTCACCAGAAAGAGGCTCACCTGGTATTTACCCGGACTAGGGCCTTTATGGTAATGCCTCCAATACTCTTGGAATTCCCTCCACTTAATCTGCCTTTACTATGGTGTCTGAGGGATTTACTTTTATAGCTTAGCATTTCCCCTGTAGAAGACTTGTTTTCAATCTGCTTTTAAGACTGATGCCATGTTTTTATGAGCCAATTTCTACTAGTTTTAACTATTTATGGTTTTGTTATTTTGTTTACATTGTTTATTATATTTTCAATTTTGGATGTGACTGGACTTTTACTGGGTTATATTGCAAATTGGTATAGGCTTCCACTGATGATAACATGCAGCATATAAATGTGCTCAGTCTAGGAAATGGTGTGATTTCATATAACCATCATATATCAACTTAAAACAGTATAAATGAAAAGCATGTTATGAGATTTCTTACTGTGCCTGGCCTGTTGTAAAGAAGTTTGTGCAAATTTCGAAGTTCATCAGTTTTCTTCTTGCTTAAAAAGTATTGTATTCTTTCAATTTCACAAAGTTTTTGACCCTTTCCTGAAAAGGCAAACATGTTATAATAATCAAAGTTACACTTTTTAGCCAATAGGTTATTTGCTTTAACCAAAGCCCATTACCATATAAAAGATAAAGCATAGTTAAAATTCAACAACCAAGGTTCCTAAGTTTACTAAAGACAATTGATGAAGTTATCTTGTACGCTGACAAGCAATAAAACCTTGTAATAATATTTGGGAACAGTCTCTTAAAAGTTTATCAGGATTTATCGCAATACTGCTTCAAAATAAACATTAAAAATGTCCCAAATATCTAAACATAGGATAGTTTAGAAAATTACAAATGTGATCTTCCATACTATATACACAAAGGTTTTTTCTTTAATTAATACTTGTTTGACTTCAAACAAAGAAAAGCATAATATGCAAAATAAATAGCTTGCCTGGTGTAATTGTAAAAGGTTCCTTCTGTAATGAAGACACCTGTATTGTCAATCTTTCTACTTTCTTCTTCTCTCGCTTTCCTTCAACAATGAGGCTCTTTTCTGAAAGACAATTGATGCAGAACTTTCATGCAGTCAGGAAAGTGGTTGAAATTACTGCACACAATAAACAAAAATAAAGTAATATGTGGGCTTAAGAGTGTATGTGTCACTTGAAAAAGCATTCTGACATAAAATACTGGCAACTTAAGAGTCAAATGTACTGAAGCTCAAATAATTTAGCAACTGATTCACAGAACAGAATGTCCTATAGTGCCATCCCAAGGGGAGGAGTTGAAACAGTTTATATTCAGAATGTGAGAAGTCTGTAGATATTTTCTCAGCTCTCCTGACCTGTGCAATATACAGGTCTTCTATGGAGGATAGTCTGCTCGCAATTGTTCTTTCTGCAGTCCTAACTATCCTTTGGAGTCTGTACCTGTCCTGTTTGGTTGCTGTATGAAACTAGAGTTATAGAAGTACAAATGACTCAAGAACTCCTCTGTGAAACTGTATCAGTTGCTCCTGGGGCAGTCTGAACCTCCTGAGCTGATGCAGGCATTCTTTGTTGTGCCTTTTTAATTAGGGTTCCAATGTTAGGGATCCATTTCAAATCCTGGGAGATTATACAACCCAAAAATTTGAAAGTCTCTTTCTGATATTGTGCTACTGAATATAGTAAGAGGTGGTAGAATAGGGCACCTCCTAAAATCCATTTTCATCTCTACAGTTTTAAGTGTATTCAACTCCAGATTGTTCTGGCTGCACCACACGGCCAGTTGTTCAACCTCCTTTTATATAGAGATAATAAAAGATAAAAGATAATCAAACAACGAATCAGTGAACACCTACAGGCAAACCAAGTCATTACTAAAAGCCAACATGGGTTTGTCAAAAACAGATCATGCCAGACAAACCTTATTGCATTCTTTGACCAAGTGACAAAATTAGTGGACCAGAGGAATGCTGTGGACATAATTTACTTGGACTTCAGTAAGGCATTTGACAAAGTAGATCACAACCTACTACTTGATAAGATAGAAAAATGCGGATTAGACAGCATCACCACCAGATGGATCCGTAGTTGGCTGACCGGCCGTACTCAGCGTGTGGTCCTCAATGGAACCACATCTACATGGAGGGAAATGTGTAGTGGGGTGCCCCAGGGCTGTGTTCTGGGCCCAGTGCTCTTCAACATCTTCATCAACGATCTGGACGAGGGGATAGATGGGGAACTCATCAGATTTGCAGATGACACCAAGCTGGCAGGAATAGCCAACACTCCAGAAGACAGGCTTAGGATACAGGAGGATCTGGACAGACTTGAACACTGGGCACTATCTAACAAAATGAAATTCAATGGTGAAAAAAGTAAGGTTCTACATTTAGGCAAGAAAAACCAAATGTATAGATATAGCATAGGGGGTACCTTGCTCAATAGTAATAACTGTGAGAGGGAGCTTGGAGTCCTAGTGGACAATCATTTAAATATGAGCCAGCAGTGTGCTGCAGCTGCCAAAAAGGCCAACACAGCGCTAGGCTGCATTAACAGAGGGATAGAATCAAGATCACGCGAAGTATTAATACCACTCTACAATGCCTTGGTAAGGCCACACTTGGAATACTGCATCCAGTTTTGGTCACCACGATGTAAAAAAGATGTTGAGACTCTAGAAAGAGTACAGAGAAGAGCAACAAAGATGATTAGGGGACTGGAGGTTAAAACATATAAGGAAAGGTTGATGGAATTGGTATGTCTAGTTTAATGAAGAGAAGGATGAGGGGGGACATAATAGCAGTGTTCCAATATCTTAGGGGCTTCCACAGAGAAGAGGGAGTCAAGTTATTTTCCAAAGTGCCTGAAGGCAGGACAAGAAGCAATGGATGGAAACTAATCAAGGAGAGAAGCAACGTAAAACTAAGGAGAAACTTCCTGACAGTTAGAACAATTAACCAGTGGAACAACCTGCCTCCAGAAGCGGTGAATGCTCTAACACTGGAAGTTTTAAAGAAGAAACTGGACAGCCATTTGTCCGAAATGGTATAGAGTTACCTACCTGAGCAGGGGGTTGGACTTGATGACCTCCAAGGTCCCTTCCAACTTTTTAAATTACTACTACTACTACTACTACTACTACTATTATTATGGATCATCGCACAGTCAGCCAGATGTTCAGACTGGATTTGGCATTTTGTCTACCTATCGAGTCCTTACCCAGGACCTGGGATAGGCAGATGTGGATGTTTGATGGTATTACAGGTATCGTCGCAGGATGGAAGCAGTTCCTAATAAGGCCGCCTTTTGCAATTGACTAATAGCGAATTTGTCAATGCCAATGGTGTTCAAGTGGTGCTCCAGTTGTTTTGGGATTGCACCCAAGGAGCCTATACTATTGGTACTACCCTTGCTTGCTTTTGCCACAGTCTTTCTATTTCTATTTGTAGGTCTTTGTATTTTGTTATCTTCTCCAGTTCTTTCTCGTCTATTCTGCTGTCTCCAGGCACTGCCACGTCCAGTATCCAGACTTTTTTGTCTTTCTTATCGACAATTGTTAAGTCTGGGGTGTTATGTTGCAGGTGCTTGTCTGTTTGAATTCTGAAGTCCCAGAGCAGTTTAATTTTATCATTTTCTATGACTTTCTCTATTTTATGATCCCACCAGTTTTTGCTTACAGGCAAATGATATTTTTTGCAGATCTTCCAATGCACCATTGTTGCTACTTTGTCATGCCGCTGCTTGTAGTCAGTCTGTGCAATCTTCTTGCAACAGCTTATCAGGTGGTCCACTGTTTCTTCAGCTTCTTTTCATAGGCGGCACTTACTGTCTGTTGCTGTCTTCTCAATTTTGACTTTGTATGCATTTGTCCTTAAGGCTTGGTCTTGTGCAGCCAGAATTAGTCCCTCGGTCTCTTTCTTCAATTTTCCTGCTCTTAGCCATTGCCAGGTCGTGTTATTATCTGCTTTCCCAGCTATTTTTTTCATGTATTGGCCATGTAGTGCTTTGTCTTCCCATGCCTCTATTCTGTTCTTCATTTGGTCTTTCTTGTAGGCCAGTTTGGTCTCTCCAGTAGTCAGTAAGCCTTCCTGATATACTAATTTCAGTGCATCTTCATCATTGTTCTTCAGATATTCTTCCAAAGCCATTTCTTCTTCTTCAACCATCTGATGTACTTGTAGCATTCCACGTCCACCTATTTGCCTTGGTAGATAAAGTCTGTCAATGTCACTGCATGAATGAAGGGCATGATTCATTGTCATTATTTTTCTGGTCTTTCTATCCATTGCTTTTAGTTCTGCTTGAGTCCAGTCCACTATTCCAGCTGTGTACCTAATGACCGGAATTGCCCAGGTGTTGATTGGCTTTATGGTATTTCCTCCATTGAGTTTGTACTTTAAGATCATCTTCACTCTCTTGATGTATTCACTTCTAATCTTTTTCTTGACTTCAGTGTGCTTGATGTTGTCAGCTTGAAGGATACCCAAGTATTTGTAATAATCTTCCTCATCCAGACTCTTAATGTTATTTTTGTGGGGCATCTTGATTCCTTCAGTTTTCACTACTTTTCCTTGTTTGATAGTAAGTGTGGCACATTTGTCCAAGCCAAACTCCATAACAATATCTTGGCTATATATACGGACAGTGTTGAGCAGCGATTCTATTTCAGATGATGTTTTTCCATACAGCTTCAGATCATCCATGTAAAGGAGATGTGATAGTCTGGTAGATCTTTTTGATGTTTGATAGCATGTCCTGAGTTATTCAGTATTGTTGACAGAGGAAACAGTGCAATAACAAATAGTAATGGTGACAATGAATCTCCTTGAAATATTCCTCTCTTGATATTAACCTCTCCCAATCTCTCACCATTGATCTGCAACTGTGTCTTCCATTGTGCCATCAATCTTTGCACAAATTTTCTGATGTTTCTACTGACTCCTGTTATTTCTAGGCACTTTATTATCCAGTCACGTGGCAGAGAGTCAAATGCCTTTTTGTAGTCAATCCATGCCACATTCAGGTTGGTCTTCCTTCTCTTGCAGTTTTCCAAGATCATTTTGTCTATTAGGAGTTGATCTTTTGTTCCTCTGCTATTGGGGCGGTTTCCTTTCTGCTCAGGTGGAAAGAGATTGTTTTCAACTAGATGCTATTGTACTGCATCAGCTACTACACCAGTTAGTAATTTGAAAGTTGTTGATAAGCAGGTAATTGGCCTGTAGTTGCCTGGTGTTGCCCCTTTTGCTGGATTTTTCATTATTAGGTAGGTTTTCCCAGTTGTTACCAAAACCCATGCAGTTCATCTCACCTGGTGCTGACCCATTATTATTATTATGGATCATCGCACAGTCAGCCAGATGTTCAGACTGGATTTGGCATTTTGTCTACCTATCGAGTCCTTACCCAGGACCTGGGATAGGCAGATGTGGATGTTTGATGGTATTACAGATATCGTCGCAGGATGGAAGCAGTTCCTAATAAGGCTGCCTTTTGCAATTGACTAATAGCGAATTTGTCAATGCCAATGGTGTTCAAGTGGTGCTCCAGTTGTTTTGGGATTGCACCCAAGGAGCCTATGACTATTGGTACTACCCTTGCTTGCTTTTGCCACAGTCTTTCTATTTCTATTTGTAGGTCTTTGTATTTTGTTATCTTCTCCAGTTCTTTCTCGTCTATTCTGCTGTCTCCAGGCACTGCCACGTCCACTATCCAGACTTTTTTGTCTTTCTTATCGACAATTGTTAAGTCTGGGGTGTTATGTTGCAGGTGCTTGTCTGTTTGAATTCTGAAGTCCCAGAGCAGTTTAATTTTATCCTTTTCTATGACTTTCTCTATTTTATGATCCCACCAGTTTTTGCTTACAGGCAAATGATATTTTTTGCAGATCTTCCAATGCACCATTGTTGCTACTTTGTCATGCCGCTGCTTGTAATCAGTTTGTGCAATCTTCTTGCAACAGCTTACCAAGTGGTCCACTGTTTCTTCAGCTTCTTTGCATAGGCGGCACTTACTGTCTGTTGCTGTCTTCTCAATTTTGACTTTGTATGCATTTGTCCTTAAGGCTTGGTCTTGTGCAGCCAGAATTAATCCCTCGGTCTCTTTCTTCAATTTTCCTGCTCTTAGCCATTGCCAGGTTTTATTATTATCTGCTTTCCCAGCTATTTTTTTAATGTATTGGCCATGTAGTGCTTTGTCTTCCCATGCCTCTATTCTGTTCTTCATTTGGTCTTTCTTGTAGGCCAGTTTGGTCTCTCCAGTAGTTAGTAAGCCTTCCTGATATACTAATTTCAGTGCATCTTCATCATTGTTCTTCAGATATTCTTCCAAAGCCATTTCTTCTTCTTCAACCATCTGATGCACTTGTAGCATTCCACGCCCACCTATTTGCCTTGGTAGATAAAGTCTGTCAATGTCACTGCGTGGATGAAGGGCATGATTCATTGTCATTATTTTTCTAGTCTTCTTATCCATTGCTTTTAGTTCTGCTTGAGTCCAGTCCACTATTCCAGCTGTGTCCTAATGACTGGAATTGCCCAGGTGTTGATTGCCTTTATGGTATTTCCTCCATTGAGTTTGGACTTTAAGATCTTCTTCACTCTCTTGATGTATTCACTTCTAATCTTTTTCTTGACTTCAGTGTGCCTGATGTTGTCAGCTTAAAGGATACCCAAGTATTTGTAGTAATCTTCCTCATCCAGACTCTTAATGTTATTTTCGTGGGGCATCTTGATTCCTTCAGTTTTCACTACTTTTCCTTGTTTGATAGTTAAGTATGGCATAATAATAATAATAATAATAATAATAATAATAATAATAATAATAATATTGTATCGTCTGCAAACTTCAGTACTTTAACAGAAGGATTTCTAGAGTTGCAGTCATTGGTATATAGAGAAGAGCAATAAAGAGAGCACACAGCCCTGAGGGGTTCCTGTGCTAATTGCCCAAGTACTAGATGTAATTTTCCCTAGCTTTACCTGTTGCTTCCTATTTGTCAAAAAGCTAATAATCCATTTACAAGTATGGACAACCACAGTGAGCTGAATCAGTTTAGAGCAAAATTTTTTTGGAATGATGGTATTGACTGCCAAGCTGAAGTCTACAAAAAATACCTCTGCACAGGTCCTAGGAGATTCAATATGTTGCAAGATGTAGTGTAATGCCATATTGACAGCATCATCTGTCATCCTATTTGCTCAGTAGGCAAACTGCAAGGGATCTAACAGTGGATCCATGATGACTTTCAGGTGGGCCAACACTAACCTGTCAAAGATCTTCATAACTACAGATGTCAGAACAATCGGCCTAAAGTCATTCAGCTCCCTGATGGAGGATTTCTTAGGAAATGGGATAATGGTAGAGAGTTTGACGCAAGAAAGGACATAACACATTTCCAATGATTTATTAAAGATCAGGGTGAAGATGGAGGTCAGTTATTCAGCACAAGCTTTCAAACAAGGAATTACTGTTTGGGCCTGGAGTTTTTCTGATCTTCTGTCTATGAAATAGACCTCACACATTTTTTTCTAAGATCACCAGAGGTAGGGGACCCAGAGGGATGGAGATAGGGGTAGGAAATGTGGCTACTGTTGGTTATATGAGGTGGGGAAGGTAGTGGTAGATGACAGTGATCTCCTTTCAAACATACAGTAGAACACATTCAGTTGATGATTCAGTGGAATTTTATGTGTTATCTCCTATCAAGCACTTTCAATACACTTTGAAATTTAAGGATTATGAAAATACAGCATAATTTATGATGTTATGTTAACCAAGTAACAGGTCCTCTGGTTATCTGTTTGCATTCTACACCATAGAATGAATCCAGTGAGTATGATGAATCTCATGTCAACCAGAGAACCATTCCATAAATAAATGAAAATCAACACATTTCCCTCCGTGACTCAATATTGGCATTATACACATAGAAAATAATTATTGTAGTTTAACATCAAATGCTGATTTCCATATGTTCTGATGCTTGAAAATGATAAAGCATAGGTTAAAAATACTGTCTCTTATTGCAAAGTTTGGAACTAAAAGTACAACTTAAAGAAGGAAACCTAAAAAAGTTAAACTGGGATGCTAATGAAAATATTGACAGGCTTTTAAAACTAATTTTATTATATTTGCATAACTAACAATATACAAAAAAATAATAATCCAGGCCCTGGAAGTGAATAAATTTGAGTTGGAACATTTCTATGGGGGTAAAACTCTCTACTTTGTCTTAATATTTGTGTATTTTTTTCTATACCTCAAGTATATTTACCGGTATACTTTTTTCACTGCTGCCTGAAAATTAGGAAGTGCATTGTTTGGTTTTGGGGGACAAAAGGATTTTGCAGATAGATGCAATCACAACATATGAATCTTTAATCCCAAATGGACTAGTAGGTATTTAATAAATAGTATACACAAATATGAAATACTATATATTCAAAAGCTTTTTTAGATAGTGGAAGACATAAAGCAAATAGCAACAAAACATTTTCTCAATACATTATATATAGTTATGCTTCATTTCTCTTAAGTATGATGAGTTAATATAATTAATAGAAATATTTTAAATTAAATCATTGGAAATGAAAATATTACCTCCCAACATGTTATCAAATATTGTTTGACATTCAATTAAGCGTTTACACAAATAGTTCAAATAAAAGAACTAAACTTATTAGAGACTTAATGCAAAGCTCAAACTTTTTGGTGCCATGACCTGCTAAATTAAATACCTGTGTGACAAGTCCTTCCCATAAATAGAACTGTCATAACAAAGTGACATGGTTCATGCTATGCCTGCATAAGCCCAGACAATGGGAGCCCTGTCAAAGTGTAGTCTGACAATTTTATTCAGGGAGAGTGGAGTTGTATATATTCATTTATTATTTACAGGTAGCTTAGAATCATTCATTTTCTGACTGTTTGATGTTACAACAAAACTAAAAAAAGTGACTTATGACCAGTTCTCACAACATCTCCATGGTTATGTGATAAAATTTAGGCACTTTGCAACTGGCATGCATTTCTGATGGTTGCATTGTCCTGGGGTCATGTGATCACCATCTATGACTTTCCCAAGCCAGATTTGTTGCGACCACATGATTTGCTTAACAACTGCAGTGATTCATTTAACAACTGAGTCAAAAAGGGTAGTAAAATAGGGCATGACTCATTTAACCACTGCCTTGCTTAGCAACGGAAAAATTGGGCTCAATTGTGACTGAAAGTCAAGGATTACCTGTAGTATGGTATAGCCAATATAGGCTGCTTCTTTTGTCTATTTCAGGAGGAATCTTTTTGGTGCTTAATCCCAGAAGCCCTTTTGGAGGAATCTAAGACAGCAGGACAACCTCTTCCACTAACTTAGCCATCAGTCCCACACAGGCAAGCAATCTTAAGGCAGCAATAAGAGCCAGGCCTTGTGCCTGACCTGAGATCAGTGACTTGGTAAATCTTGCATAGGTGCATTGGCACCGATAGTATAGAACTTTCATCAGCGCATTTCTTCAAAGACAGTCTGTCTTCACTCCTGGGCAGTATAAGCACTGGGCATGCCAGTACCTGTTGAAGTAGGATAGTAACTTAGCAACAGGAAAGGCCTATGGGAAACAGCTTTTTTTTCTTGGTCCTATGGCAGATCTACAAGCACCAACAGTGAAACAAGACTGCTTGTACCAGGAGTATATCTTTGTTCCTCTTATGTAAGCAGAAATGATATTCTGATATCTTTCATATTGGGAAGTGCAGACCTCTAGTGAGTTCATGAGACTTACTGTTACTGTTTCTTTCCTCTATTCCCTGTCTGAAAGTAGCAATTCTCTTTGAGCAAGATTGGCTTGTAAATAAATACAAGTAGTTCTTGACTTACAACAGTTCATTTAGTGACCGTTCAAAGTTACAATGGCACTGAAAAAAGTGACTTATGACCATTTTTCACACTTATGACCATTGTAGCATCCCTATGGTCACGTGATTTACATTTGGATGCTTGACAACTGGTTCATATTTATGATATGATTGCAGTGCCCCGGGCTCATATGATCATCTTTTGCAACTTTCTGACAAGCAAAGTCAATGGGAAAGCCAGATTCACTTAACAACCGTGTTAACTAATTTAACAACTGCAGTGATTCACTTACAAATTTGGCAAGTAAAGTCGTAAAATGGGGCAAAACTCACTTAACAAATTTCTCACTTAGCAACATAAATTCTGGGCTCAATTGTGGTCGTAAGTTGAGGACTACCTGTAGCTTTATCAATGCCAAACCATGTTTCCACTCAGCCAGGACAAAGTCAGAGTTCCCTTGAAGAATGAGCATAATTCCACACCTTTTAATGTGACTACTGAGGGTCACATCTTACAATTCGAAGTTCCCCATCTTAATGTACAATGAACAGAAAGTAAATATAAAAGATTTCTTCACTGTTCTCTACAATCTACAATAAACTGCATTCTGGGGAGTTTCTACCTGAAAGTGACAAGGAGTCAGAAAAGGACAGAATCTGAAAATAGTTTGCTGTCTATACAGCAGTTTGTATTTCAGTTTACCTTTTTCCTCTTCCTCTTCTTCCTCCTCTTCATCATCCTCACTATCTTCAGCTTTGTTTTCAGTTCGTGGTTCTCTTTTTTCTGTTTGTTCAGTAGAAAGTAAATCACCTTTTTCAGACATATCTGCTTTTTTTCTGCACAGAAGATATAGGGGAAAATATCAGCTTAGTATGAAGCACTTTATTACTACTACTAGCACTGAGATTTTTAACACACAGCAGCAGTATTGCACTTTCTAGCACAAAGGTTCATACAATGTGCATAGTCACAATTAGTTTATTTTTGGCTTAGAATAATATGTGACTACTCATTACCATTTAATGTTATATACTTATCAGGTCACTTATATTTGTTCCACAAACAATGATTAAAATGTCCTGCTTTACCATTATATAAGCTGTTGCTGTCTTTCAAATTTTCTTACAGCAAAAGAAGCAGTTCTTAAGAGTAGATAGGGATTTGTTATATAACCTATTAAATACAGCCCCAAATCTCATGTGAATATTTTGCTGTAAATTCAACATTATTAGCTATATGATTTATCTACAAGATAAACATGCAGATAAAGACAAACTACTGGTAAATAAAACAAATGTATAATCTATTGAATAGTTTTATGACATCAAAGGTAAAATGCAACATGTATTTCCAGGATGAAATGGATAAAAGAAAATATAATACATTATTATTATATATTAAATTTATTTGTTCACCATCTCACAGGTATGCTAAAAACAATCAATTTTTATCTTTACTATTGGCATCTTATATTACTTTATTGTTTGTCGTTTATATGCACACTGAGAGCTTATGCACTGGAGACAAATTCCTTGTGTGTCCAATCATCTGGCCAATAAAGAATATTGAGTTGAATTGAAATACATTGATCTCTACATGATACCCTGATTTATTCAATATAATTCTTAGCTGAACTGCTTTGTCTATAAACTTAGCAATTCTGCTAACAATGTATACGCATGATTCAGGTCTCAATGGGCAGTCCTTCCATGTATGGACTTTAAACATCTAAGCCTAAAAGGGGCATGCAGTTGACAAACAAACAAGATATGATATCTTGATATCTGCAATGGCTAGGGCACTGCATGCATACATTCTCACATATGGGAAGATGGAAGCACTCAAATTTGCCTGGAATCCAAAAACTTAAATCTTGCTCTAGAGTAAGCTGTTCTGCAAATTATGTAAAATATATTCGGTATTAAATACACTAAAGAATAGAAAGATGCATTCAAAATAATGCTTTATAGAATACAACTTCAAATTATTATATCCTGATTCTAGAGATTTCCAGTTACTTAAGTAGGATTGGATAATATGACTCCCACATATGAAAGGAAATTAATCAAGATTGTCTCAGAAAACTATTACTAAAACTATTATTTACTTCCAGAAAATTAAGTTTGGAAATTTTTGCTTTCTAAAGCAAGTCAAAACTGTTTTGTAGTGCAGCTTTGCACATAATTCTGAACCAGATAGACCTTTGTCTCATCTATAAAAAATGGCAATGAATCACTCAATATATTATTCAACACATATTTTAAATTGGTATTTGAGGTATATCTGCTTGGTAAGTTTTATATAAGGGCAGACAGAATTCCAAATAAACACTTATACTAAAGTGTACTATACTAAATTTAGTCAACCCTTGGCTAATATGTGTAGAATCAGTATCAAAAAAATTCAGATCTATAGATAGCAACCAAGATAGATTTAAAATCCTTGTTCATTTTGACCAAGTCACTATTATACATAAGAACATAATAAAGATCAAATTAGACCATAATCAACTGAATATATATGGGCACCAAGCAAGAAAACTAGAGTAGAATCCTCCAAGTGCATTTACCAAAAACTGATAGTCAAGTTGGATACTACTTTACAATTATGAGAACCTTATGTTGTATTTCTCTTTTTAAAATTGTCTAAGTTAGTGAAGCTTTGCATTAAATAATGTAGCTTATTTACAATATTCAGAACTTTTGAGAAGTGAAATATAAGTTATATAGCTTTGGAAACCAAGCTACTTAAATAAGGACATGGGAGTGTTCCTTGTAATGCTAAATAATAAACTTCAATATGTCATTCTGTGTCTGATTTTCACATTTATATGTTTTTTTCACTGAACTGGCAATTCTTGCTAAATTTGCAGATATAAATAGACTATTTTAAGGGGCAATTAAATGCAATTATGGAGCAAGCATGCAACAGATGAATTTGTACAACATGCTTACCAACTGAATTACTTAACGGAAATAACCAATCATCTGGTCTTGTGTAATACTCCATACCATACCATAAAGTAACCATACCCAGTACATTTTTCACAGAATGTCAGACTAAAATACAACTGGTTGTTTTTTTGATGCAGTATTGATACTTGCAGATTGTCAGCTCATAGAAACAAAATATATTTTTCAAATAACACCAAAAAGGAGTTTAACTGTTTCTGAGTTGCATTGTACTTTTCAGCTTCAATGCGTTAACTTTTAGCAGCTAGCTATTTGGAAACAAATTCACTGATAGTTGGGAGATGGATAATATCTGGAGGGAGTAGCATCACGGTGAGATACGCTGCAAATAAATTTAATAACAACAACAACAACAATAACCAGGGGGCTACTAGTGGGAAATCAAAACACATCCATCTTCCCCTCAGACCTGCAAACACCAATAACTTGTGAAAGTCAGTTTTTTTTCTCTTTTTCTCACCCCAACCTACCTCATGGGGTTGCTGTTGTGGGGAAAATAGGAGATAGAGTATTAAGTCTACTGCCTGAGTTTTAAAGCAGAAGGAGATTGCAGGTAAGGAATTACACGGACGTGAAGAAGAGGAAGAGCATCGAAGCCAAGGAATTACACGAAGGAGGAAGAGAAGGAGGAGAATAATAATAATAATAACACAATATTGCGGCCGAGGAATTACATGGATCTTTCCACAGCGTCCCCAAGAGGCGAACGGATCAGGAAGGTGCCTTCCTCTACCGAGATCTATTCCATTTTAGTACCACTGCTTGCTTAAAGACCATAGGCTCCTGTAGCCTCGGAGCTCAGAGCACAGAGCCCCGGGCAGCTGGCGAGCACTCTGGCAAGAAACAGGATTCCGGCGGGAAACAGTTCGAGCCGCGGAAAACGTCAGGCCTCGCGCCGGCCGGAATTGAAGTCCACTCTGAAGGGAGTAGGGAAGACAGGCGCTGAGGGACTCTCCCCTTTCCTGACGGTTCTATGGGGCCCCGCGGTCGGGTTCCGGCCGGGCTTCGGACACTCCGGTCGGGCCTGTCACAAGAATCTTCTTTTTGGCCGTTATCCCGACAACACCGAAACACCCACCTCGTCGCCGACGGACACCTCTAAGAAAATGGGCCCAGCAAGGGACGGAGACGGCCCCGGACAGCGACAAAACGAAACGCTTCGGGAGGCACGACGGAAGAGGGTTTTGTGTGTGTGTGTGTGGGGGGGGGTGATATTGGCGTTACTCGCTTCCTCGCAGAAAATCAACAACGTTTCAAAATGGCGGGTTGTCAAAGGGGAAGAAGGAAGCGGGAAAGTGCCGGCCAATAGATGCTCAAGAGGTAGTCCGAATGAGGCGGGGTTAGAAAATGATGGGCAGGAGCGTTGAGAACAAGTCAAAGACATTAATTTCGAGGAATGCATGCAGAGCATGCGCAGAATCGGAACGCTGCCTGACAGAGAAGGCGGAGCTATGCGAGAACACCTGCAATTGCCCGCGTGTTTTGTTTTTTATTTCTCAGTTGCAAGATGGAAGTTGCATTCCCTTCCAAATCCAGAGAACGAAGGAGGGCTGAGCTCCTTTCTGAGAGCTCAGCTTCCCCCCCCCTTTAAACTCAGTGGGGGAGGTATGTCATTTTTTTACTGACTTGTAAGAGAGAGAGAGAGAGAGAGAGAGATTATTTAATTTTTGTGCATAGAGTAATCTTGCTGCAGATACCACACTTAAGTAATGGTTTCTCATAATACTTGTTCAATGTTCATAAAACCCAACAGAAACAATTCTGGTTTTATTGTAGTATTAATTTGCTATATTAATTAGGATTTGTACCTCTTTGCTTTTTCACAGGTCCTCCTCTTTTTATTTTTACCCTTTCAACATTGGTTTGGTATTCCTTTATATAATTTTCCCAGCTTGATTGGTGTCCGATGATATATCATTTTATTAAAAAATATTTTAAATTGTGACATTGTGCAAATTTAACACTAGTTTCACATATTTTCCCCATATATCTATATTTATAAGCAAAATTTGAAGTCATTTATCATGCGGTCCATTTTACCGTGGACTTTTTAAACACTTTATCCTCTATTTCAAGATCTTGACTCTCTTCTATGTGATCCCTCTTGTGTTTGAAGAGAGCTATCCTTTCCCCACTCTTTAACTGAGGCTGAACATGTTCAGTTCCCTCAATCTTTCATTGGGCTATTAGGTTTCCAGACCCTTCGGAACAGTTTCACAGTATATCATTCCATGAATTGTGCTTAGTTATACAGATCTTCCATACTTACTGGAAATAATTGGGACTAGGAACTTTGTTGTTAAGTATGAAGTCGTAAGTTGAAAACCCATGTGATTGTTGCTCTGCTACAGCAGTTCAGCCAATCCTAGTTGCTGTCATTAAGCAAGGACCATGCAAGTTGCTTAGCAAGGATCTTGCCTGCTGATGACTTCCAACCTATCAACTTTCCCCACTGACTTTGCTTGTGGGAAGCTGGCAGGGAAAATCACAAATTGCAATCACAGGACAGTGGGGTGCTATAACGTCATAATCATGATCTGTGTGATGAGCATCTGGTTTGTGATTTTGTGACAAAGGCATGCTGTGCCATCCTTAAATGTAAGGTCCGTTCAAAATTGCCACTCATTCAGTGTTATTGTAAGTTTAATTGGTCACCAAATTAGTGATCGTTAAATGAGGACCACCTATAATGACGGAAAGAGGCATTGGATTAATTTTTGATATTGGTTTAGTGTTTATGAATAGTCTAAATGGAATCTTTCATATGAACACTAGAGGGAGCTTTGCATCAAAGTGCAACAATGGTTTTTCTAATCCTCAGGTTTAATTAAAACAAATTTTCAGGATCCACTTCTCTGCATATATAAGCAGTGTTAGGCAAAGATTTTATAAGACTTGAGCTAAACTTGTAAAATATCTATATATAATAAAAGCTTCATACAAGATAAAACCCATTGTTTCAATTTCCTTATTTTTCTCCCTATTACAATAATCAGCTTTAAAATAAACTCAAAAATACAATACAGGTAGTCCTTGAGTTATGATGGCAATGGGGACCATTGCTAAACAATGGGGTCATAAAGCATGATGTCATGGGACCACATTGGTTAGTGGTGGCAATCCAGGCAGTGCCTGGTGCCATTTGTCACCTGAGATGTGTGGGAAGCATGGGTGGGAAGCGTGGGTGCCACAGGTAAGGAGTTGTGGCAGTGTCTCGGTGTGGGGGAGACCCTAAGAAGGCCAGCCCAGGCCACATGTGAGTTGAGTGAGAGGGCTGCTGCAATGTGGCGCAGCCAATAGGAATGCAGGGAGGCCAGGGAAGGAGGGTGTGTGTGCAGTGGGAAGGCCTGGAAAGGAGTGGGCACATGATATGTTCAAAGAGAACCAGGAAAGAGTATGTGGGAGAGCATGCAAGTATAAGGAAGCCCAGAAAGAGGGGTGCCGATGCAAAGTGTGTGTGAATGTAAGGTGGCCTGGGAAAGAGAGAGGGGTGCATGTGTATGTGCAAGCACAGGGAAGCCCAGGGAAATTAGGCATGGGGATGTGCAAATAAAGGGGAAAAGGATGGGGTGGTGCATATGCACAAGTGAAGGGAGAAGAAAGGCCAAGGCGGGTTGAGGGAGACTTACCTGAGCCACCTCCCCTGCTAGCTTCCTGTTGACTTTGCTTGTGGGAAGCTGGCAGGGAAGGTTGCAAATGATAATCACATGAGTGCAGGATGCTGCAACTGGTCATAAGTATGAGCTGGTTGCCAAGCTCCCAAATATTGTTCATGTGACTAGGGGGAAACTGCTATGGTTGGAACTTCAAGGACCGAATATAAGTGTTTTCATTTGGTGCCATTAGAACTTTGATTGCTAAATGAATCATCATAACTTGATGATCTATAATCTATTGTTAAATAAACATGGGGAAAATATAACTCTCCTGAACTGGTTAATCCAGTATTTTCATGCCATATTTATTTGTTTGTTACACTACAGCTCTGCTCACAGGTTAGGTTGTTTTTTCCTTCTCCTTTTCCTTCTCCTTCTTCTCCTCTTCTCCCCCTCTCCCTCCCCCCTCCTCCTTCTCCTCCTCCTCCTTTCTTTTAAAATATTCATATGCTTGCTCCTGCAGGCTAATTAAATTGGCCAAGGGGTTATTGGGCTCATGGTTAAGGGAAGCCATTAATGTCTCCTTGATGTGGGATATGTACAGCCATGATAAGAAAGGATTTTATGTCCAAGCAACAGTGAGAATATGCAATGAGCTTGCTTAAATCAACTAGGCTGGCCATCTTTTCCCAGATGCTACTTGATTAATCAGCTGGGACAGTTCCTACCTCAACCTTTGCAGTCTGAGAAAATGCCATTTTCTAGGACCAGAAAGAATGGCTGCCAGTTGTTTCTGCTTCTCAGGAAACATTCTCCTGCAGTTCTTCCTTAATGATTCCTGTGATTCCTCAGTCTTTCATTGGTCCTGGATCTGAAGAGGCAACAATCTCTCTCTTTTTGGTATCAGAAGACACTTGGGGAACAATCCTGACCATGGGGTCTTTCTAGGACATCTGAAGCATTGGAACTTGAGGGCACCTTTCTTTCTCTTCCTGTTGGGCCATCGACAAATGATGATTTCGGGGATGAGAATAGTCAGTGGATCATATTGTGTTAGCGACACAACTGGCATTCCTACTGAGTCAGATTTGTCTTCCATGTGGAGACTCTGCTACAGACAGAGATCTAAAGTATCTAATGGGAGGGCAATGATGATCTTTAGTATGTGTTTAGGACCTGAGGACCTGATAGTTATATTCTGCTGTGATTCCATGCTAAATAATGAATTCTCTATGAACAAACTTATATGTTACTTTATGTTTGTGAATACCTTATGGTCATTTCCTCCCTCTTTGGGAGCTGATAAGAAAATTAGCAGAGGTAAACAGATCCTACAAATGTACTGTAATCTGTTATTTTTATATCAAGCTGAGATTCCCCCCCTGTCTTTCATGTCCTAGATGATGGATGCATAAAAATAGAATACATTCATTAATCTTATAATCTCATAGGCAGAAACTTGAGCAAGAGAATAAAGAAGACATATTGTTTGTAGCTTCCGTGTAATTTTGAGTGTATAGCTTGATTCCCAAGTATTTGTTTGATGCATTTCCATCCTCAGGGGGGATGACTCTGTCATTTGGCAGTTTGAGGCAATTGCCTCAGGCTCAGATGCTAGGAGATGGCAGCAACTGTGGTAAGAGAGAGCTAAGTGCAACAACTGTCTTGCACACTCAGCTATTTTGTTTTCTTCAAGTTCAGTGACAGATGTTATCCCATCCCAACTGTGGAAAAAAGGTTTAGTCATCAATCCACTTATAGAGTTCATTTTCACTGGAGGCATCCCAATGTCTTCATCAGGCCCTGTTTTTCAGACACATTGGTACTGTAATAGAGAAGTCAAAGAACATGAATAGCATTGTGGACCTAATTGCAGAACAATGCTGAAAAGGAAATTATTATTACCGGTTGGCAATATAATCTATAGAAGATGTTCTCCAATGTCTGGTAAAAATGGAAAAGACAGTAGCATTTATATCTTTATATTTTTCATCAAGCTGAATGTTTACTGTTGGATCAACAGCAATAAATATTGATATCAACTAAAGTTCAGGTAGTTCTCTTTTAGTGGCTGCTTGCAGTTACAACAGTGGTGAAAAGATAACTTTATGATCAATCTTCACATATACTACCTTCATAGATCTGTAAAGGAAAGCTGATATAAGATCATAAGCACATTCATGTTTTCACTTAGCAAGTTACTTGGCTTAACAACTGAGTTGCCAGTCCCAGTTGTGATTGCTAAACAAAGACTACCTGTAGAGTTGTGAGGAAAGCTTTGGAAACATTACATCTATGCAAGGATTAACACAGACTTCTCTAAACTTGTACTTCCCAAATGTGTGGGTTGTACTCAGCCTAGAATAATTATTTCTGAAAACTGTTTCTTTCCCAAAGAATAGTTTTGGTTGATTGTTTTAGTACTGTATGTTTATCCAAATTCCTCCAGTCACTAGCACTCTTTGAGTAGATATAA